GAGACTCCCCGATCCTCGCAAGGGAGTAAAAATCTCACGAAAATCGTGCGTCTCCCTCTGGGTCCTCAAATAAGACACGCACCCTTCTCACCCCTCACCACTTGATCACTCCATGCTCTTCAGACACGTTGCGCGCACTCCCCCCTCATCCATCGCGATGTTTCATTATAGACATCGTACGATGCCAAATTCATCGACATCACCCAACCCTAATGGCACTAAAACAAAATATTGTCAGATTTTTCCAATATCATGCAGCCCTAAGCTTATGGTCGAATTATAACAAGATTCACAAGTGAAAAGAAAATCTTACAAACTGTGCAGTGTGTGAGGCACACTGACCGAGATTGATGCTTTTTTATAGGCAAAGTAAAATACATAGAAAAAATTAGAATGTATTGTTTGTGATTTACTGCAAAATATAAGCCCAAAAACATGACCTCATACCATGTTGCCAAATACTTTGCAAGCTTCATTTTCAAATGAGACAATTAAGACAATTTTAAGACAAGACAAATTCTCTCTCAGACAATTCTTAAAACAATTCACTTTTAATAACTGAAAACATAACCATCATTTTTGTTGATGTTGTTCATTTGTTTGCTTGCATGAGAAACACTGCGAATTGAAAGAGACATTTGGTATTTTTCATCATCAACAACTGACAACAGATCATATCAAAACCAGTTATTTCCTGTGTATTTGAACTTGTGGTGTTGAAGTGCTTGCTAAAACCAAAGAGAAGCTAGAAACATTGCAAATGCTGAAAGCAATCGAAACTCACCATTAAATATGGTAGAATAAAGATCTGTACAGAATTAACCATTACTTAGTATGCCACTTTATTTTGTAGTCCAGCTGACTTCACTGTTTTACCTATAGGTGGTCTCAGTAGAATAGTTTGTTGTACAGTTGTAAAGTAACAGACATTTAAATATTTAGCACAATTAAAAGGCTTGTTTGTGGATTATAAATAAAGAGCAAGGCATTATTAGGCCGGCCACAATAAGCAATATGATAACTTATCACACAACACTTGGCTATGACCTCATGCATTTTTGATAACGGAATATAAATATAAATATATATATATATATATATATATATATATATATATATATATATATATATATATATATATATATATATATATATATATATATATATCTCATTGGAGGTGTAAGTGCCAGTATGGTTAAAAAAACACTATAGCATTTACTATAAATTACTTGAATTTATTTTCATGTATCGCAGCCTCTGTTACTTTTTTACCTTGCACTTCTTTTATTAACATTTATTATTATTTATTTAGGATATGCATTAACACATTCTGATTCCAATCTGATTCCTAATTATTAAATTGTTAAAATACTATTTAAATAAAATATTTTTAAGAATAAAATATTATGTGTGCTCTGGAAGAGCTATGGAACTTGCATTGTGAGTAGGGCTGCTCGATTTTGGGAAAAATCATAATCATGATTATTTTGGTCATAATTGTAATCACGATTATTCAAAACGATTACTGTTAAAGTCTAAATTATTAGCGCTCCTGGGAATTTTTTTAAAATAAATATTTCCCAAATAATGTTTAACAGAGCAAGGAATTTTAACAGTATTTCCTCTAATATTTTTTCTTCTGGAGAAAGGCTTTTTAATTTTTATTTTGGCTGGAATAAAAGCAGGTTTAAATATTTTGAAACCCATTTTAAAGTCTATATTATTAGCCCCCTAAAGCAATATATTTTTTGATTGTCTGCAGAAGAAACTACTGTTATACATTGACCTGCCTAATTACACTAATTAAGCCTTTAAATCGCACTTTTACACACTTTTACACCACATTTTGACACCTATTTGACCATTAAAGCGCTTGCGTTAAGATGACTTAAGATGTGTGCGCACTCCTTGTCTCAGTGTGCGAGTGAGACCGAATGCTGACTGCATGCTTCTGTTCTGTGTGTGCGCGGCACACAGAATCATGCAGTCTTTCGCGCTTTTACTTAGTAATAAATAGTGAAAACCTCAGATACTGTTGGTTGGTTGCTGTTGGTTGTGCACCTTTTTTACCAACAAAGTTTATCGACATCATTTTAACGACACAGATCACTCTGCCTATTCATGCCAGAGTCCCACGGAAAAAGCAATTGACTGGTGGTAATTTGTGTGTAACTTTATTTATTTATCATTTGGTTATGGGTAAAACAATGCAGGTCAGGTAGTTGAAACGGCAGGCTACAAATAATTAATTTGTTATGAATTCATTATTCATAAATAATTAATTTACCACAGCCTACGACGACGATGCCATCGTCCATTGCGATGTTTCACATTACACATTATACAATGCCAGATCGGTCGACATCACCCAACCATAATAATATTGTTTATCACAATAAATTTTGTTGGAATATATCGTACAACAAAAAAAGATAGGCCTATGCATTTATCTCAAAAGGAAGGGGGTTCAGTGTGTGAATTTTATGCTGAATTATTATAGAATTGTACAAATATTTATAATATAAAATACTACTTATTATTAGCATTAACTAATACTGTTTACTTTTTACATTTTCATTTTTTAATAAGTACCAATATTTTATTTTTATTTATTTATATTATTATTACTATAATTATTATTATTATTATTATTAGTAGTAGTAGTAGTAGTAGTAGTAGTAGTAGTAGTAGTAGTTTTATAAAACTTTTCATGTTTGGCATTAATTTAAACTTTTTCATAAATTCATTTTGTATTATTTCTATTAATGTGAGGTGTTGCAATGGGTAGCACAATCACCTCACAGCAAGAAGGTCGCTGTTTCGAGCCCCGGCTGGGTCAGTTTTCATTTCTGTGTGGAGTTTGCATGTTCTCCCCATGTTCGTGTTGGTTTCCTTCGGCTGTAGTGTATGTGAGTGCGTGCAAGAGTGTATGGGTGTTTCTTAGTGTTGGGTTGCGGCTGTAAGGGTTTCCACTGCAAAAACATGTGCTGGATAATTTGGCGGTTCATTCCGCTGTGGCGAGCCCTGATTAATAAATAGACTGAGCAGGAAAAAAAATGACTTGATGAATTACTATCAATGTTTAATTTATTTTATGTTTATTATTTATATAAAATTATTTTAGTGTCTAAGTTGTCGGTTCATTCCACTGTGGCGACCACTGATTATTAAAAGAGACTATGTCAAAAAGAAAATGAATGACTGAATTACTATAAATGTTAATTTTGGGTTTATTATTTATATTAAATTTTAGCGCTCAAGTTGGCGGTTCATTTCGTTGTTAATAATTAATAAAGGTATTAAAAGTAAATTAATTAATTAATTAATTAATAAATTTTTGTGCCTAAACATACTCAAGTTAAGGTACAGTACAATACCTTGACAACAATTTTACTTAAAACTATATATAAAAAATATATATTTTTTTATAATAAAGGGAATAAAAAGCAAACTTTGGGGAAAGAAAAAAAAGGTTTTTTTTTTCAATGTCCATTCTTTAAACAACAAATGTGATTTTACAAACTGCAAATTAATTTTATTGACAAGCTCAACTGTACTTGTCTTTTCTATTTTAAATACATTGTTCTCACATTAACATACCCTTAGTTGTCAAGCAAACAGGTTTATTTTTAACTGTCATTTTGTTTTCTTTTTCAAATAAGAAAAATGCTGTTAGTTAACAGCAATAACCCTGCTGCTACATTATTTGATTTGTTATTAATGCTTCCTTTTTCCAATCTTCTTTACAGTGTCAATCATATGTCAAAAAAGTAAACAAAACAACAAACAAACACCTGAATTAGAAGAATGCGTGTTGTGGGGCTGATGGATGTTGGGTAGAGCAGAGCAAAACACAAAAGAGAAACTGAAACATCAAGGAATGGTAGAGAAAGGAATTGCACAGGTGGAGACAATAGAGAGATACAAAAGCACTCTCAATGGGTTTGGTCAGCCACATGAGTTCAGAAGCATGTCTGGCGTTTTCCCATCAATTCAATAGTACTGCTCAGTCATCAGTCACATTCATTGCCCAGCCACAAAAATGCTTTCCGTTCACTTTAAACATGCACAGAGCTATGTTACAGGAGCGACTGCCACAGGAGCAACTGGCTGAAATTGGAGATTTTTACATTGCCGTGCAATTTTGGATTGTGATCTTGATGCCTTCACGTGTCAAACTGTTCACATTATTCTGCATAACTGAATCCAAAACATTTCAGTTCATCCCAAAGCAAAACATCAATGAGTGTGCAAGAGCTTGACAGAAGACTTTTAAAAAACAACATGCACTAGATTGGTTCATAGTCTATTTAAAACATAACTGTGGTGCAATGCTACGTGTATTAAAATCAAGTGAATTTGAGTTGGCCAGGCCTATTCTAGTCTCTCTTCTTTACTTACAAGCAAATACAGTTCAGACTTAACTATAATGAAATACATTTTAATTTATTCTATTGCATAGAATAAACCAACAGCTCTAGTGTGTTTGGATGTCCCATAAGACAAATGCATCTGAACTTACTTTTGTTTAGTTTTTTTTATTATTATTATAATTATTATTATTATTAACAACAACAACAACAACAACAACAACAACAACAACAACAACAACAACAACAACAACATCTGTTTACTGTACAGTATCACACAGAACCAATTTCAGTGATGGAAAGGTAAAGATTAGGCTCACTATTCTGAATAAAGCTGTTAGGTTACTATTGTGACGACTAAAATGGAACATTAGGCATGGCATAAGTAAAAATAAATAAACCAAATTTCTTTGGAAGTTTTGGGAAATACCAAATACAATAAAGCATGTTAAAGTATTAAGAGTGAAAGCCTGAAGGATGCTGAACTGATGCCATTAAACGCACAACTCACCAACAGTACACAAACGCACAGCACCATTTAAAGTACCACTTCTTAACATCTAGTCTATAACCTAGTAAAGTTAACGTTACTTCTGATAAAACGATACTGTTGGATAAATAAGCACTTACCAGAAAAAGGAAGGCAATCACAACGATGCTCTTGACACCTGTGCGAATGACGTCAAACGTACGCACGTTATATGAGAGCGGATAGTCGCTGCTCTTCTTGTTCAAATTCACCTCTGCTCGTTTATAAAAGCAGACCTGCTTGAATCACTTTCAGCGCGTCAGTTTTTAGTCTGTGCGCTCCATGTGACCAAATTCCCACACCGCCCAGTTTTTCTCTACTTTTCCCGTTAATGTTTCCGCTGTAGAGATGTTGCGCGCGCTCCTCACTCAAATGCCACGTGTTGCTGTCAAAATAAAGGCTGGGGGTGGGCACAAGAGGGTGGCACGCGGGGCGTGACGAGTATGTGAGATGAACTGCATTTTAACAACAATCATGACTTTGTGTTTATGCGCCACCTGCTGACGACAATGGAGAAAGATTATATTAAATGGTTAAGTGTATTAAACGACTAACGTTACATATTTTCGTCTCTCACTCTCTCGCTCTCTCTCAGTTCAAATTCAAAAGAGCTTTATTGGCATGACATCCACGGTATTGCCAACGCAATTATACAATAGATAGAACAAGAACAAATCAGTAAAATAATTAACAGGTACATGTTACATATAAAGTAAAGAAGTAACTACATATTAACAAAATTAATAAAAAAAATAAAATAAAAATGCATATATTTAAAAATATCAAGATAATGGTAATAATAATAAGAAATATGAACATAAGAAATGGTCTTGCTTTAGGCTCTCTCTCTCTCTCTCTCTCTCTCTCTCTCTCTAAACGTTCTAGAATCCACACATTACTCACTGCACACTATAATGAAAGCTTTTCTTTTATTCTCTCAATTAAACAAGTATTTTAATCATACAACAATCAAATAGTTGACAGTCTGAATCAACAAAAGGTTAGAAAGTAGTTTTGCATGTTTTCGAATATTAGCACGTTATGATAGCGCATTACAAGTTACGCGAGTTACATAATAATATTCCTTTTCTAAGTAAAGGGTAAAGTAACACATTACTTTTCAAAAAGTAATGTTATTTGAGTTACTTTTTTTGAATATGTAATGCAAATTACTTTTTTAGTTTATTTATTTTTTTTAATAATTGCTAAATTAAAATGAAAATATTAATGTCAAATGAGAGAATGCAGGAACAGACAGAAAAGATGATAGCACAGTCTTACATTTCTGCAATGGAAAATTCTCATTATTTTTTAAAAATGGAAGAAAAAAAGAGGATTATCTGAATGTGATTGGTTTTACTTTTTTAATAAAAAGAACAAAAGTAGCAAACACATTGCTTTAAACATTCATTAATCTGTAAGTTTAGCTCTGGGGTCAGGAAGTTCTCCATGAATTGATTTGTTAATTTTATGTGTTTTTTTATAAAGGTAAACGAAGGTGTGTTTCAAATTGCAGAGCTCATCTTATAAAAAAATAAGAAAAAAACAAAGAGATCGAGCTTCAGCCAGGTCAGAAAAAGTAACCCAAAAGTTATTCAAAAGTAATGTAATGCATTTTGTACCATAAAAAGTAACTAAGTAAATCAAAGTTACTTTTTTGGGGAGTAACTCAATATTGTAATGCATTACTTTTTAAAGTTACTTTTGTCAACACTGATAATGACTATATTTATCTGTCACTGTGTATTCAAAGTCTAATTCCTTGATTTGTTCATTATAAACAGCAGTGGTGACCAATGCAATAGAGTGTAAATAACATTTACAGCAGCTTCTAGAGGATAGACCAAGAAGACAGAAGAAAATTTAAATGATGCTCGTAATGAAGTTAAGAAACAACAAATGTTTTTATTTTTTTATTTTTTTTAATCAAAAATCTGTGTGTACCTTGCATACTGCAATAAATTGTGTGTGTGTGTGTCAATACAAATATATTAACTTTTATTTCCATTATTTAATAACATTGTGAAAGCAATTTAACTGTCTGCACAACAAAATACAGACAGCTACTTCAGTTACCAGAAAATGACAAAAAGAAGACAAAATTGAGTTAATGATGGAACTAAAGTGAAAAGAATCAGCACTGGCATCTTCAACAGTCATTCTTATGGCTCTGACATGATTTAACACAAGGTGACAACATCTTGTTAAAGTGTACACAAGGAAAACATTGTTACATTAGTTCTTGTTTTAGGTATAAACAAATAAGATTTATGGTTAACTCTTGTGTATTGTTCAAATTTACTATCCTTTTGTTATGCTGGTTGCTGTTTTTGCCCCATTGATTTACATTATAATGACATTTTTTGTTTGCAAAGTCATGACGAGACCATACAATCCTGCATTCTTGATTGCTTTCCCTGTTTGGGAGAGGTAAAAATTATAACTTTTACTATTGATCATCGGTTGGCTCCACTAACGCTTTAAATAAACCTGCGCAAATAACATTCTGTCATTAATATAGAGTTCTACGGAGTTATTGTATAACTGCAATTAAGTGTGCATGCATAAATACACTTACAATGTTTACATGTTCTGAGAGATGGAGTGCTTACTTTTACTTTGACATTTCAAGGTAAGGGTACAAAGGTCTCTGTAACACTTTCACACACTCACACACACAATTTTCCATAGAACTCCACACTATTAAAAAATAATGGTTACCTTAAATTTTTAAGCTGAATCAAATTAAATCCATTGAACTTTGCAATAAAAAATGTCATTATTATGGATGTCAATACAGCACCAAATATCATTCCATTTGCTGAAGCACAAAGAAAGTAGCTACCAAATTAAGTCTCAAAATCACCCCAGAGTGGATGAAAACATCACCAACAGCACACAGTTAAGGGGTTAAAACAAGGAAAACTGAAATTTCTTTTAAGAAACATTCTCTGAAATGTTACTCTGTACCAATTTTGCTCCTCAAGTCTTTTAATATTGTCAAGATATCACTATTAATAAATGAAATACTTCTTTTTGTGTTCTATGAATGCCATACAAAACATGTTTGTCTGACCAAGCCTAATCCTGAATTTTTTTTATATTATTTTAGATATGAATAGCCTATGCTGTGAATTTCAAATCATTTATATGGAATCAAAAACCATGCTTAATCTAACTTGGATGAAACTCATAACAAAGAAGCATACCGTAACTGACTTTAAACTGGGTATAGACATAAAAACACCACTGCCTCAACATTTTCCTTGTCCTTAAGCCCAAAATAATTCTACCTGCTGCTTGTTACACATTAAATGTGAACCTAATGACAGACAGGTTAAATAGAGTCCGCTGCACTAAGTACTTACAGACACTTGATGATTGAAAAGATTGAGATTGTGTTTAGACTATGATATAGCAGTCAGCTAAGCAAACAAAACAAATAAATAAAAACTGTGATGAATGTTTAAATAAAATGATGGTTTACACCATGTCTTACATCCCGATCCTCAGGCTATGTAGTTTTCATAGCCAATGCGGTTACAAATCTGAAACCAAAATGAAGGTTTTACATCAATGTTAAAGCTGGGAAAAGTCATTTCAGATAATGTCAGTATTGGTGTGACACAAATAATAAATTTCAGGATCTTTAAAGCACATTGCATTGTGGATTCATCACAACTACATACATGTGAGTGGTCATACTGTCACAAACCCATCCGTGTTTAACATCTGAGTTGAATCTAAAAGACTATAAGAACAAGGTGTGCACATGCTTGGTGAAGAACGTGAAGGAGGATATTTTTTTAAGTACGGTATATACAGTGTGGGGCAGTAGTTCTGTGTTTAGTGGACAGCAACAGTATAGATAGACTTTATTTTGCACTGAGTAGTGGTTGAGCAAGTAGTGTCAGTGAATAAGAATTTGCTAGGAAAAGTTGGTGAAAGCTCTTAAACTGGTGCCACATAGTTGCCAGGGAATGTTCCAAAAGCTTCAGTCCTTTCAGACGTACCTGACAGGAAGAGAAAACAAAATATGATTAGGGCAAAAAAAAAGCTACCACTCTGTTGGAAGGACTTAATGCAGTAATTATAAAATAACCTAATGGAGGGCAGTAGACCTACAATGTTTTTACTAAGACTTAAATCTTAAAAATTAAATCTTTTAGAAGGCGGTCAGGGCCTTCAGAAAAATTACATAACAGAAAAATTTTAATTCCATAGCCGTTCTCAAGCTACAATGTTCTCCAGGTAAAAAAAATAGACAGATTTATAATCTAGATAATAAATAATAATCCTCTGTAACATTATTGGAAGGACATACTGAGTGACTGTCAGTGCAGTTCTGCATGTTAAACGATATGCAAGATATCGTTGTTTTAGTCTCTTTATCCCATCTTCTGCCACTTTAACAATTTTATTTTTACATCCTGGTTTGCCCATTGCTAGAAAACAAAGCATATTTCACTTCAGTTATGATAGCTGCTTTAATGTGGCTGAAAACACAAACTCTGGAGAACAGCAGCAGCCACCAAAATGAGTCGCAGATTTACAAAAAGGTTTTCTTCTTGTAGCTTTTAAAAAGCAAATGTATAAATATTACAACCGTAAACATTAAACATCGCTGGGGAGGTTACATTGCAACACTGTGTCCCAACAACACGCGATGCATAAGATTAAAGCGACAAACAATTTAACTATCTGCACAAGATGCAACAAGACAGAAACATTTCAAATTACCAGCCATTTAGAAGCACAGAATAGTGCATTGAATTCCAATGAAATAAGACTTTCACTCACTGGCCATTTTATTAGGTACACCTTACCAGAACCAGGCTGGACCACCTTTTGCTTTCAGAACATGTCGGCTGCACATCCATAATGCTAATCTCCCGTTCCACCACTTCCCAAATGTGCTTTATTGGATTGAGTTCTGGAGACTGTGAAGGCCATTTGAGTACAGTGAACTCATTGTCATGTTCAAGAAACCAGTTCGAGATAATTCATGCTTTATGACATGGTCTGTTATCCTGCTGGAAGTAGCCATCAGAAGATGGGTACACTGTGGTCATAAAGGGATGGACATGGTCAGCAACAACACTCAGTTAGGCTGTGGTGTTGACACAATGCTCAATTGGTACTAATAGGCCCAAAGTGTGCCAAGAAAATATCCCCCACACTATTACACCACCACCAGCCTTAACCATTGATACAAGCTAGGATGGATCTATGCTTTCATGTTGTTGATGCCAAATTCTGACCCTACCATCCGAATGGCGCAGCAGAAAATCGAGACTCAGACCAGCACAATTTGTTTTCAATATTCTGTTGTCCAAATTTGGTGAGCCTGTGTTAATTGCAGCCTCGATTTCCTGTTCTTAGCCGACAGGAGTGGCACCCGGTGTGGTGTTCTGCTGCCAATCCGTCTCAAGGTTCGACATGTGCATTCAGAGATGCTCTTCTGCATACCTCGGATGTAACAGGGGTTACTTGAGTTACTGTTGCCTTTCTATCATCTCAAACCAGTCTGGCTTTTATTTCTGACCTCTGGCATCAACAAGGCATTTGTGCCCGCAGAAGTGCCGCTCAATGGATTTATAATTTTTTTTTTTTTTCAGGCCATTCTCAGTAAACTCTAGAGACGGTTGTGCATGAAAATCCCAGTAGATCAGCAGTTTCTAAAATACTCAGACCAGCTTATCTGGCACCAATAAAATGCCAAGTTCAAAGTCACTTAAATCAGCTTTCTTCCCCATTCTGATGCTGGGTTTTAACTGCTGCAGATCATCTAGACCATGTCTACATGCCTAAATGCATTGAGTCGCTGCCATGTTGGAAAGGTGTACCTAATAAAGTGGCCAGTGAGTGTATAATCTTACTATAATCAAACTTACATGTGTAGCATTCAGCATTGAATAAAAGCACAACTAGTACCTGGGGTGATCATTGTCATACAAGTTTGTACAGTTGTTCAGCCCTGAGAAATTGAAACCATTTTTAAAATAAAAATCCCAGGTGATGGTTTAGACCAGGGGTGGGCAATCTCCTAAAGCACAAGTGTTTTTGAAACACTGCACCAAAGCACAATCCAGAACATCCAGGGCACATGACTAAAGTGATTCAAATCACCAATGTCATGCGACTAAAGCAATTCAAAGCATCGAACATTTCAGAAGCACTTGAAGACCTAGTGAATCTGCGTTTGATTGACAGGGTTGAAAAATCTTTGTAGCCTTGAGGACCATGAGTGTACACAGAGTAACTGTGCTACAAATGTCCTGAGTTCGAATCCTAACTTGTACAAATCTTCAGAAATTGTGACTTGATGTATTTTAATAATGTTAATTTTTAATGACCAAAACAAGACATTTGTCAAAGTGTTTATTCTAATGTCAGACCAATGTTAAAACAATATCTATATATCTATAACTGCGCCAATATCTAAATATCTATAACTGCATCACCATAGATTTGAACCCATTATCTCTACATGCTAGTCAGTAACTCTCACCACTCCACTAAATCATTTAAAACATCAACTCTACAATGTGGGGTATAATTTCTCAATTTGTTTAACCGTTTCTTTGCTAAAGCAGTTTCAGAGTTATACTTAAAAATGACCACCAAGTGTCACTGTAGAGACGGATTTTGAAATGTTTTGAAGCTTCGACATAATTGCTTTAACCTTTTCAGTGTTTGATGGAGCACACCATTAATAAAAACCCTTTTAATTATGAAAAAATTTTTTTTTATTATGTCATCGCTTGTAGCTAGGATACAATGAAGGCTTCATAGCCAGGTATGCTCATTTCTGTCATCACTCTGGCCATCTGCGTTTGCTTGGAGCAAAGACTAGATTACAAAAAAACATGTCACTCATATCTTTTTGAATATGGAAAATGTGGAAAATAAAGCCCTCCCTACTAGTACAGGGGCCAATCATCGACTGCTATATGGCGAATAAAGCCACCTTTTAGCACAGAAGCCAATCATCGATTGCTATAGACTTACAAAACTACAGGGGAGGGGCTTGAAGCTGATTTGAGTTTCTGCAGATTTTGTGTAATTCGCTTAGAAATGAAACTAAAGAGACATTTGTCATTTAATTTTATTAATGATGACTAATATGATATTCAATCGTAAGCTTGGCAAGTTTGAGATTTTGATGTTTCCCCATTCAAACAGAATGCCTGAGCATACTGCCCGAGAGGAGTTTTCAAAGATGGCCGCCAAGTGAAATGACTTGCCTTAAAGCACAGGTGTCAAACTCAGTTCCAAAAGGGCCGCAGCTCTGCACAGTTTAGTTCCAACCCTAATTAAACACACCTGATCAAACTAATTGAGTCCTTTAGGCTTGTTTGAAACCTACAGGTAATGCCTAGTTCAGACTGCGTGATTTTAGCCCCGATTTTGGCTCGCCGACAGGTTTTGAGAAATCGCCGACAAATGCCTAAAATCACAGGCAATTCGCTGCTTGTGAACGTGAGTGACAATCACACAGTATGAACGATTAAAGACGCGATCTGAGAGAATCGCAGATGAGTCGCCGATGCCTGTGAGATATTTGGCGTGCTGAATATCAGGAGCTGTCAGCGATTCAAACCATGCAGTGTGAATTGAGTTTTGACTGAAAATAACATCAGCGATCGCCTACAGCCAATGAGAGAGCGGCATTCACTTATATGTGCGTGTGTGTATACCTGCTGCAGGCCAGCGGGAGGCTGGGGGAGAAGTTAAAAGCGCTCTTTTTGGTTTATTTGGACCCACGAAATGGAGGAAAAACTAGTGGAGGTTTGACAGGACTCAGGAGCAACCGTGTCTGTTTGACATTTCATACAGAAAGAAATTAGTTTATTATCAACGTTGAGGAGAAATGGCTAATTCCCTTTAAACCCAGGTGAGCAAATATGTACATGTTCTACCCCATTAAAAGGCTTCTTTCTCATTATGTAGTTAATAACAAAAGATATACTACATGTTTTTGGCTGTGAGACGTAGTTTGGACGAAGTTGTCGGCGATTCTCCCTATAGTAAAGTCATGCAATGTGAATGTCCATGTCGCTGAACCATCTTGCAGTGTAAACAAAGCAGCGACGAAACGCTAGCCCAGATAGTCATGCAGTGTGAAAACATCTGTGACACGACTACTTTGAATATCATGCAGTCTGAACTTGGCATAAGTGTGTTGGAGCAGGGTTGGAACTAAACTGTGGAGGGCTTCGGCCCTCCAGGAATTGAGTTTGACACCCCTGCCTTAAAGGGACTTTGCGTGAAGACTTTGGAGGGGGGACAGGGTGAAAAAGTGTTTTAATTTTGGAGTGCAATACCTAGTTCAATCACTAGGTGTCAATCTTACACACTGCACTTTTAATTATGATGTCAAAAATATTTATAATTACCTACAAACCAGCCATCGTCACACTTCTCTAGGACCTGAACGATGTCTCCTTCTCTCAATTCCAGCTCATCTCTATTCTGGGGTTTATAGTTGTAAACTGCTTTATACCTGAACGTAAACAAAATAAAACCATTCCAAATAATGGACTTTCAAATTTTCCAAATTATAAATAAGTACAACATAGCTGGATTAAACCTGAATATCTGAATTGTACTGCTTTAAAAGGACAATTCTCTCAAAAAAATGGAGAGTGTCATGTTTTATTCTGCTTCATGTCAAGTACTCACGGTTGTCGCAAATGACCCATGTTCGCAGGAGACTGGGATGTGGAAGAAATCACAGTGTTGGGCTGTGAAGACTGTGTCCTGGCCACATCCTATAAATAAGTGTTAACAATGTAACACACAGTAACAACAACAGTGTTTTCAAGTTGCTGTTTTTCATTCCCTTTTCCCTAAAAATTATTGTACCAAATGGCTTTATTAACACACATGCAGCATCACTTTTACATGATTGTATGATGTTACTAGTGTACAGATTGTATAGCATTTCTTTCCTCTTTTGGTTTTCACGGTGTATGTATTGTTTAATGAAAAATCTGACTTTTGTGGAAATTATAAAACACTTTAATTCCTTGATGAATAACAAGTTTAGTGTTTATTTGACATTGAATTTGCAATGATATGCAAGTGCAACTGTTAGTTTACATCAGTGTAAAGTATCTTTGAGGGGGACTTTTTTATTATTTTCTTTAAAGAAACGTAATTATGCAAACTTTAAATAGACGAGACACAAAATATGCAAAATGCAAAATAGCTGTTCCCACTTTATCCCTTATACCAGTGAACTTACATGATCTCTATTTGTTTATGCAAGCACAGTGTGTAAACATTGAATCATACTGTATTATCTACATGTATAAAGCTGGTGCAACTTGTGAGCTGGTGAGCTTATGCTCACACATAATAACCTACTGAATATTATATGCTAGTACAAATGTAAAACAGGAGTTTAGGAAATGGGTACCTACACATTTTTTCCACATTGGAAAATACAAGTGTAACAAGAATTATTTAAGTGTATGGTGTACTTTTTTTTTTTTCTTCAGTTTCCTCAAGCAGACATCTATACTGCAAAATTCTGAAACTTACACCATCAGATATGGAAATTAATTTGGTGCTCAAAGCCCTACAGTGCATTATTTACAGTACTTTCTAGCTGTTGAGTGTACATGGGTTGTATATTAATTATGGTGGTCCATTGTGTGATTGACTTAACATAGGTTCATCCTGAAAATGTACCCCTTTATACATTTCTGGAGATCTCAAATTATATAGCCAGAGGAATGTATGACTGCATTTCGTCTTTAAAAGCTTTGAAAGCTTCGGGGCTGTATGTCACAGTTTCTTTTTCACACTCACCAGCTGACCACTTACCTGTGTGGACAGCTTTTCCGCTGTTACTAGTTGGAGTGGCAATGACTGACGACGGGGTTTTGAGTCTAGCAAAGAACAGTTTCAGAAAGCAGCTAAAAAAAACAATTAAAAAAATCTGCATCGCTTTTTAAAACACTATCGGTTGGGTTTAGGGATGAGTTGGGTGGGGGTATCGGAGAGACGGTCAGTCAGTTGACAGCGGCCTCTGGTAGATTTATGCAAGAAGAGCAGGTGCAAATGACACTCGTGAGAAAATTTTTAGATCTCAAAAAACATACACCGCAGCCTCTGGTGGATTCGCGTAAACAACCTGCAAAAAAAAAAAAACATAGCTCCTGGGACGTATTTAGCATTCTCCAGAAATATAGGGGTACATAATCAGAATGAGCCTAGGTTGAATTGATTGAATGCACTTCAGAATGTCAGTTATGGTTTGGACACCATTAGAAGGGCACATTATTCAAAGAAAATAGGGTGATTTCAGATACAGCTTGTTTTAGCAGACCTATATGTAAACGAAACACCAACTAAACCATTTTCATAGGCCAGTAGCTGCCTAGTTGCTCGCCTATACTGTATATACAGTATGTGGACAGTTTATGTTAAGTACATGAGTATTACGCAGAGTGTTACGCAGAGGATTGTGTTTTACAAGTTACTCAGAAATGCGACATTTTTACACACTCAGAAATAAAAAGGTACAACATCTATCACTGAGGTGGTACTTTTCAAATGGTTCACTTTTGTACCATACAAGTGGACATTAGCAGTTTTTGGGTACACTTTTGTTTCATTAAAAGGTTCCATTTTGTACCTTTAAGGTAAACTGTTAGACCCTTTTTTACAGTGGAATACGGTTTCCTTTTATTACAGCAAAACACTGGCTATTTTAGATTTATTTACTTCATAATCTTCAGCAAGGGCTAAGTACTTTTTAGGTATTAATATGTTTAAGGACCTTTTAGAAACAAAAATGTAACTTTTAAAAAGGTACTGCCACAGTGACAGAATTTGTACCTTTATTTCTGAGTGTGCACTTTATTAAGTAAACAGTTCCTGATCGGTTACAATGTGCAGTACTATAATAATAGTACTTGTAGAGGACTGATTAGGTTTCTGATGTTAAAAAAATGTAGTTACCAATGTCCCATTACACATTTGTACTTTTAAATACCATTTAGTTTTAAAATTAGTTAAACCAACATTACACATGCATATACTATGTACTAATGTAAACATACACTGTGGTACATCGAGTCAACATGTAAGATCACAGCTATAAGGGAAAGTAATAATAAGGGAAAAAATATCAATAAGAATCAATTTTGGAGAAATAAATGAAACTAAAGATACAAGCAAATATAAAACCAGTTAGAGACTTTCGATATAGAGTATGTGGCTGTAGAAAAAAGTACAAAGTATAATAATATAAGAGTATCTGTACTAAAAGAAAGCGTATCCTACAGTATTTAAGTGCTTTGTCAAGCCCACTCACCTATATGAAGTACACTAGAACTGCATAAAATAAACTAAAATTATACTCTGATAAATAAAGCATAAAAAATTGTAGTCAAACCTGTGTGATGTATGGACTGGCATGTTTGGCTGGCAGTCCTGGGCCCTGTAGGGATTGGAGCACATGACTGGAGGGTGACACAGGTGACCTGCTGTCTGTTTCCGGTGTATTGTGAAGGTGCATTAATCCTGTCCGTTTGCTTGTGGGTGAGGTGGATGAAGTGGGGCCAGGCGAGAACAGGAAGTGGTTTGTAGGCTGTTTGGGAGAGGTGGCCTGTGCATGTGACAGAGGGGAGCGTGATTGGCTAGATTGTTTGTGATGTGAAAGCTGGGGTTCAGGGGAGCGTGACAAGGGAGACAGAGGGGAATGCTGAGGCCGGCCAGGACTGAGAGGCTCTGGAGTAAGAGTGGGAGATGATGGAAAATCGTCACTGCTTTTAGTGCGAGGCATTTTGTTGACCTGGACGTAGCTGATAGGGAAGATTCCACTGCGGGTGGTGCCAGCAATACGACCTTCCAGCCAATGATCATCAACACGCCTGGTGATGGAGATCACCTCACCCTGAGACAATGACCAAACAAACAAAACAAAGAGAAAAAAAGTGTTGCTTAAGCTGTTTGGTTAAAACATTACAGCTTGCAACAAAGTTTACTGGAATACTTAAATATGTTTGGTCAATTAGAGCATATTCGTTTATTATTTATGGCAAATTATTAATTTAGGCTCAATACCAATATGCTAATTTACAGGTCTAATAATGACATAATTAATGATGGTATCAAACCCTGCAGCCACAGTACTTCAACATGACGTCATATTGCGGTTGTACCCCAACGTGATGGGGACGCTGGATTTGTTTTGGGAGATAAAAATCGGGTTGACTTTAGAACAATAGACTGTAAAATTTATGACGTCACCCATAGGTTTCTGAAGAACCCAAAAGAAGCTACCAGTAGGTGTGGCCAACCATCGCTATTTTGTTTGCGCGTCATCGCACCAACTGGGAAATATCAAACAAGGGCAAAAAGGCGAAGCTACAGACACCTGCTAGCATTTTGCTTAGACAGGCTTTCCTATGGGAGAAAATGATACTTTGTTACCTGCGACTTGTTTGTGTTCTGACCACATGTGATTGGTTGTATACTATATAAAGTGTTCAGACTTTTAAAAACTGTTGTAAAACATTATGAATGCAAGGCTATTTATGAAATCCAGGCATAACACTATGACAATGTTTCAGATGACTGTTTTAGAGCCTACAGCTAATCAATCTGTCAGATTCTGAAGTGCATTACAGGTCTAAAGAAAATATATAAATGATTAATGATCTTAAATAAAACAAATTCATTTCCCACTCACCTGGGAAATGAAGGCCACGTGAATGGTTTGTGAGCACAATTAACTGCACACAGCATGCCATATTATCTGATAATTGTAAGAAATAATTCTAAAAAGCAATTGACTGTAAAGCCACATAAAACGAAACAAAAATACAATTTATATGCTGAGTTCAGCAGCTAATCAGCCAGAATCAGCTGAGGTAACATGACGGCGACCGTCGAGACCTAGCTGTCACTCAAGTGGCCACGCCCTTAGTTAAGCAGACTTAATATAAAAGGAAACGGATGAGTCATAAAAAAAATAATAATTCACCGCCTCACAGTTGTCATGAAGGGTAATATTAGCTATATGAACCAAGAATCAATCTTTGTACCAGGCTGTCCCAGGAATAGCCAGGACCAGCGGAATTTTAATGAATTGCAGTTTCAGGTCCTTTCATATTTGCTTCACGAGGGAGTGCGGGAGGTTGCCGCTTGGTCAGAACCCAATGTCAGGCCGACGTCAATGTCCAAAGTCCAACCTAAAAATCAACGTCTAACCATCTTACCACTATGACCTCTATCAAAGGTTGATTTTGGTCACTTTCTAACACAACCAAATATCAATGTAATTTGACGTCGTTATTAAAGAATTGAACATTGGGTAGACGTTGAATTTTAGGGTGCTTTCACACCTGTGAATCGATTCAGTTGTTCCGAAACAGAGATTAAAATTGTTATATTGTTGCTCTTTGCTCTTGGAGCGGTTCGCTTTCACACTGCAAAGTTTCTAATCGGACCAAAAGAGCTAAAACAAGTCACGTGCGAGTAAACTCTCCTTACAATGGTCAGAGTGTCAGGGTTTATTTTGCAGCGTCCCGCTCAGCTGTCAGGAGAGGTGGTGGTTTGGTGGTGATTGACAGGGTGCGCGCGCGTGACGTGTCTGAGGAGAGACGCGGTGGGGAGGGGTGAGAAGGGTGCGCGACGATGCCTATTTGAGGACTGGGAGAGAGACGCGAGATTACCGGGAGATCATCACTCGTTTGCGGGCATCCGGAGACTCGTGAAACTTCCCGCCCTACTCATAATTCTCTCTTCATATAGCCGTAAGCCTATTACATATCCATAAAACACTGTGATATAACCGCGCTCAGATCGGATCGCTTTCTCACTGCAATCGAACCGCTCCAGGGTTCGTTTCAATCGAGCCGAGACCACCTCATTCAAGCGATCTCGGAGCGATTACTTTGGCACGGAACAGAGCGCGATTGCCCTGTTCACATATGCCAATCGAACCGCGCTAACTGGGCAAACGAGATACGTTCCGAAACAAAAGTGTAGGTGTGAAAGCACCCTTAGTCACTTGATGTCATGAACTAAATCTAACCTAATATTAAATCTTATATTGTTGTGTGTCTGCTGGGAACTTATTTTGTCCCCTTGGTTTGTGTGATGCTTAAGCCATTATATGTGAAAATAATCACTTCAACATCCATCAATAAGGATTTATTAAGCAATAAAGGTCACATGATCATATACTGTATATGCTCTTACTGTATGCATGAGCATGTAACCTTGCTATAACCTCAGCTCTTTTCATTTCTCTGTAAAAACATTTGGAATCAATTCCGCTAAATCAAAAACAATCCCATCAGTTTTGAACATCCAGTTAGAGTCATATCACTTTGCTCCCCCTCTCATCTCTTAATTAACATTTTGCAAAAAATGTGATGAGTTTTTTATTATTAATTACACTAAAAGTAATAATAAAAAGGAAATCTAAATGTCATCCTGTCTAATCATTTTAAGTAGTACAATAATGTGCAGCTGTATCCCTGAAGAGGATATGGATGTTACATTAACCTTTGTTTTATTATGTGCTACTTGTAGGGTGTAGTGCTTCATTTTTATGGCACCTTTCTGAAGGACAGTTCTACAGGCAGGTCAGCATTGAAGGTGTACAAGGCTGCGGCCTCCCCATACTCTAAAACCTGAATGGTGGGAGACTTTATTGGAGTGGGCTTCTCGGTTGGAGGAATAATCTGGAATGAGAAGATATGAAAGAGCATAAAATACAAAATAAAAGACATACGGTAAAGGTTTTTTTTTTTTTTTTTTTGTATACACACAAACATACCTCCACATAGCTGGTGGGAAATATTCCCACTCTCCCATGATGCTCTCCTTCATACCAGTTGGCATCAATCTGCCGGTGTATATACACTACATCACCTTTTTGTATGGTCAACTCCCTATGAACGAGAGGTCAAAGATGAGATATAGGATTTATTTGTAGTTGTTTTAATCAAAATTTATTATACCTTCTTTATTTAGATCCCATTTCTGAATATATTTATGAACAGTCAAATCTGCGATATGTCTTTTGTTTGAACTTACTTTGGTGACTGTGCTTGGAAATTAAATTTGGCTCGGGCTGCTTTCATCTGTGTAGAGACACATGCTTTGTCATTTTGTCAGCTACTTTCCATGCAACTCAAAAAAAGAACAATTATATACCTTTCTTTCTTCTTTCTTAGGTGGAAAATCCATCTTTGAAGATATGTGATCTGTAGAGGCAAGAAAAGCAAGATAAGAGATTTTGGCCAATACCCCAATATCAATAGCAGATGCGTGTCTGGTGCCAACTTATTCTGCAATTACTGGTTGTTTCTTCAGCTCTGGGCACATTTACTGTACATCCTAGGTTGAAGGATGTGGTCGTCATGTAAAGGATATATATATATATATATATATATATATATATATATATACATATATATATATATATACATATATATATATATATATATACATATATATATATACATATATATATATACATATACATATATACATATACATATATATATATATACATATATATATATATATATATACATATATATATATATATATATATATATATATATATTATTATTATTATTATTATTATTTTTATTTTTTTTTTTTAATAAACTGATTAAACACCATCATCTAAAACTTGTATCTGGATACCTTACTGTCATGTGCACATGTGCAATTCCCATATTTGAGGAATTTTAATAAGGTGTTTTACATGGAGGTTTTACAGGTTGACTTTGATCAGTTATGTCTTTGATGTCAGTAGAAGTAATCTGGATTAATGTTAACACCACTGCAATGCTTGGGGTCAATAAGCAGGATTAAGAGATGCTCTGTTTTGTATGGGTTTTAGTCTTGAAACTAAACAGCCACTGCTCTGATTGGATAACAGTTCTGCATAGTGAACTAACTTCCGACACCCCATTAGTATATTTGAATGATTGTTCAGAAAACGTCTAATATGAATTGTTGACGACCCGATTTAAAATCACCCATCCTTCAGTGTGATCCCAAAATTGTAAGACAATGAACCTATTACATCCCTAAACAAAGATGCTGCAGCAGGTTTTATATTAAAGTTGCGGTATGTTAATTTGACACCCAGTGGTTGAACTAGGTATTGCAAGCCTGATTCAAAACGCACACAAGCACAGGTTGCCATATTGACATCAACAAAAGTGTCCCTAACTAATCGAGCCTAAAAGCTGATTTAAGTCATGTTCTAAATAAACTTCTTTTAATATGGAAAAGTAATCCTTCTATCTAACATCTGAAAGTTATACTTTAAAAATGGCTCCTGTTTCTTGGACAGGTACACCTTATGTGCTTTATTTAGTGTTAAATGCTTATAATGAGGGTTTGAATGCCATTTTACATGACATGCATTGCCATACTACTGAAAGCAGCAGTAGATAGTTTACCTTAGATCTTGAAAATAAAATGGTAAACCCTTTGAAATTGAACTGACTCATTGCAAACCAACACATCATTGAGTCAGCAGGTACATTTAATAATGTTTAAGGTTTAAATAATGTTGATAAACCTTATAATTTCATTGGGGTGCAGTAAGTGCACTATTCTGTGCTTCTGAATGGCTGTATTTAAATTTATGTGGTGTTGCAACTGGTGCAAGTAGCCCAATTGCTTATCTTGTCACGTAGCGTGTTGTTAGAACACAGGTTGACAATGTAACCTCCTCACCTATTGTTTATTAGTAATATTGATATTATTGGCTAATTAAAAACCACGTTATATGGAACTCTAAATCCGAATCTCATTTCGAAGTCTGATACTGTCCACCAGAGATTGCATTTCAGTCATAGACACATACTTAGAGAGCCTTTTTGACAGAATGAATGTAATACGTGGTTTTTCATCAAGACAACCCGCGTTGCTGAATAAAATTGGCTAAGCTGTCAGTGGGCAGGTTTAAAATAACGAAAACAAAAAGACATCTGATTTGGCACATAACACACATTTTCAAAGCAGAGTAACTTACTTTAGCATTGTTTTTCAGATAAACAAGAATGTTCACTTAGCAGGTTTCTACAAACATATTATGACATTTCTATGCTTTAAAAGAGTCAAAAACTTTCAGCACCTTTCAACAATAAGTTCTAATTTTTCATCTTTTTTCAGGTATAACAAAAATATCTGAAAACTCTTTTGCAGTGTGATTCCCCCTCACAGAGCCTTTTTGTATTGTAAAAACTAAAACAAAACCACAATTCCTGAAATTCCTGAAACTCATTATACGCTTATTAGTGACTTGTTTGATGTGTTCAAAGAAACTGAGGTGGGTGAATATGGATTCTGAATCCTGCTTCACTTCACAAAAAAAGTAATTTTGAACAACTTTAAATTTTACTCAGTAAACTAAATTATACGGTTTTTAAAAAGCCAATAATTTAAAATTTAATTTAAAACATAAATTTGGACAGAAAAAAAAAAACTTTACACCCTTTTTGACCCTTTTTTTTTTGCTCATTATTTTTCTTATGGTGAAGCCATGAACACCATCCTTAACTGAGGCAAGTGATACCTGTAGTTATTTGCATGTTGTTGGGGTCTTTTGTGAGACACCTTTACACGAGGCTTTGTTGAAACCCACATAAATATTGGAAGAACATGCAAACTCCACACAGAAATACCATGGGGTTCGAACCAGTGACCTTCTTGCTTTCAGGCAACAGTGCTAACCACTGAGCAACTGTGCTGCACTAGGTGCAAACAGTGCTATCTGTATAAATGTACCTTTTATTGAGGTGGTACTTAATAGACTCACATTGGGAGAATGAGAGGTGACAGAATTGGACAGGATCTTTAAACAAAGATTCAAAGTAAGGTCACCTAAAGCACAACCGTGCTGTACAGCTTGTTTGAGTGATAATCAAAAGGCTATAAACTCTGACTATAAACCTCCAACATAAGAATGATTTTATATATTATATACATAAGTGAATTTGGGGATTCAATCAAATTAGTCTGTTAAATGCATTTTTTAAGAAAGCTGGTTCAGTGGCCCCCAGATCTCCACACATTATAGACTTTGTGAACTGGTCTCCAGGAAAAACAACTGGGTAAATCTAATCTCCAATCAAGATTTCCATCATGCTGATTGTTACACACATCCTGTCCTGCTGTACAGTGATTGACGTCATTTGATTCTCCTCATTTGAAAAATGTGTTTGCGTTAATTGAGCAAAGCTTGGAACAACCTAGGGAAATGACATGAGAGTAGAAGAGTGGCAAGAAGTACAAGTAAATAAAAAAAGCAGAGGAGTGGATATGAAGAAAATATATCTTTCTTACCATCAGCATGCATAAAGCTTGAAGTTATGCCCTGCTTTACAGCAGAGCAGGGGATTATGGGAGAGCTGGAAAAGAAAAACAAAACAAAATTATCATGCGATCTGGAAAAAAAAAAATACACTGAACTCAGAACTTTTGACTCGAGTCAAGGTAAGTTCACATTTAATTGTCTTATATATAAATATATACAGTGGGTAAAATAAGTATTGAACATGTTATGATTTGTCCTGATAAATATTGTTCTAAATGAGCTGTTGACATGAAATGGCCTAAGATTTTATCCAAACATACAAATAAACAAACAAATCATATTATCTGTAATAACAATGGAATGAAACAAGGAGAAAGTACTGAATGAGTACTTTGTATGAAAGGCCTTTTTGTTAGTGACAGCTTCAAGATACCTCTTGTATGGAAAATGTAGTCATATGTAGTGCTTACTTGTGATTTTTCCTCTCGACAGTTCTGAGAGTCTCTTCAATAAAATCTGATCTTTATTTGGTATTTTCTATTGGGTTCAAGTCAGGTGATTGGCTGGTTCATTAAAGCAGCTTTATTTTTCTGAAACCAGTTAAGAGTAGTGTTTGAAATCATTGTCATGCTGAAATGTCCACCCTGGTTTCAATTTCATTATCCTAGTATTGTACTGACAAGAGACACGTTTGCTTTTTAACTACTGCGATTAAGGTGATTCATGATGAAACTAATGACAAGTAGCTTTGCATTTGTGTTTATTAGATATTCTGAGCAGATCAAATTTGCCAAACCATAAGTTTATAAAATTAATTAATAAAACAAAACTTCATATTGGACACTCAGAGAAGACAGGAAGAATTACTTATTTCATATTAAATTGGATCCTCAAATTGGGGACAGAATATCTGTTGTGTTATATCTATGAATATGTAAGTGACCGAGTTACATAACTAAGGGTGGAGGTTTTTGCTGCACCAAACATTAATATATACATTAATTTTCCGTCGCCTTAGTCCCTGATAAATCAGGGATCGCCACAGTTGAATGAACCGCCTACAATAAACATAATAAAAAGGTAATACTTGGGTAATACTGCAAATATAAATTTTATTCATTTATTCATTCAGTCATTCGGCTTAGTCCCTTTATTCATCAGGAGTCGCCACAGCAGTATGTAGCGCCAACTTATCCAGCATGTTTACATAGGGAATACCCTTGCAGCTGCAGCCTAGTACAGGAAAACATCCATACACTCTCACATTCACACACATACACTATGGACATTTTAGCTTACCCAATTCACGTATAGCACATGTCTTTAGCCTGCTGGTGAGCGTCCAGAGGAAACACACGCCAAGACGGAGAGAACATGCAAAATCCACACAGAAATGCCAACTGACCCAGCCTGGGCTCTAACCTGTAAGCTTCTTGCTGTCAGGTGACAGTGCGCTGAGGCCTCTGTGCCACAATATATTACTGAAAATCTAAATATACAAAAATCTTTTCCAAAAAAGAAAGTATCCATATGAAAATATCCAAAAATTCTGACATTAACAGCACAGAAATTTTTAAAACAGTTTGTGTGCTGCTAACAGGTTTTCAGCCTGAGGGTTATTATTCCCTCCAGAATGAGGGAAGCTGTAAAACCGTCTTTACTCGGTGTACTTTTTGTAGCAGCAGGGGCATTTATGGTATTTAGAGGGAGGGGAAGTAGTCTCAAAGGGGGCAGAAAACATGTCACAAAAAGTAGAGAGGTAACTAAAAGAATGCGTCCGATTCAGCGAGCTACAAGCCCTTTGCTAATACTGTACAAGGTAAAGCTGTCAGAATGGGCATGAACATCTGAAGAAAAGGCCTGGAAGGATCAAACATTACCTTTTATAGCTCTGCTGTGTCAAAACACACAAAGAGGAAAAAAACTGTTTGAGGGGTAATGATACAGAAAGAACAAACGTGGAGTCACACACACACCTAAACTGTTTCTAAAGACCCATCCACACAGCAACAGATTTAGATCAATCCAAAATAGATTAATATCATTTCAACCTTCCATCCAAACAACACAGCATTGTTGCTTCTCTGGAAAAAAATAAAAAAAATTATATATATATATATATATATATATATATATATATATATATATATATAAATGGGTTACAGAGTGATAAAAATAAATCTCAAAATCAAAATGTCAACTTTGGAAAATGGTGGTCACTAACACGTGACCAGGAGGAAGAACCCCACATTTAACAACAACAACAACTTACAAAGTTGTGTTTGAGCTGCAAGTTTTATATTATTTTTATGCTAATTTTTGTGCTTTACGTTTTTAGCAATAACCTGATAGTGATGTATCAACTAGACTGCCAACTGAAAAGCATTAACAGTTACATATCTCAGAATTTTTCAATTCACTAAAGTGTCACCCGCTTCAAATGTTATCACTCGATTGAATGGGCATAATCAGCTGATAGATATGGGCCAGTAGGGGCCTTCTGTACCTGCTGGTAGGCTCAGAAGGCTGTTATCATCCATCCACATGATTAATCAGCTATACTTAGAGAAGACTCCAGTTCCAGATCGTTTTTCACATTTCTGTGATGGTTGGGTTTAGGGATGGGGTGGACGTTAATAAAATACAATTTATGGGAAATTATTAGTTAATTAGTTATTAGAATAATAATTATTATTATTAGCAATTTATGTATGCATACCTGTCAACACTCCAGATTTTTCAATTCTATCCAGCTATCATCCCATAAAACGTATTTTCAGTCTTTCTCTGAAGAGTGCCAAATAAACATTAAAGAGCTAATCCTTCCTATACGCAACCCATACAATCGAACCCCAAGGGGACACCTCATTTATTTAGGCATGAAAGCACTTTAAAATAAATCTAAAAATGGCACTCCATAGTGATAAATAGATGCGGTTTCCCAAACTTATTCTGTACACGAGATTTAAAGCAAAGTGAAAGTCTGGGTTTTGGGTACGTGTTTGAACTGACATATTCACAAAATTAACAACAACAACAACATCTAAAGATGTCGATATTGTTTTGTTTTTTTTCCCCCAACACAACAAATTTTGTCCTAAATTAGCATAAAATGTTAGGAAAGCAATCAAATGCTTACATTATAATATTTGAAGTGTGCATTTAAATGACACCTCTGTTATTTAATGTAATCAAATGCAAAATTTAAATAAATAAGAGTTTTATTCGTTGCTCTTTAATCAGAAGATATACAGTGAAGAACATATTAATGAGATTTGATAACTTGATTTTTTTATAATAGCTATTAATTTAAGCTAAACTTTTTATAATTTATTTGCTGTTAATGTATACTATTATTTTTTCCTTTTGTAAATAATAATAATAATAATAATAATAATAATAATAATAACAACATATTACTTTAATTGTTTATTTACAATGAAACAGCTCCAGATGAACATATTTAGTAATTTGGTGATTTTTTGGTGCGCATATCCCTTATTTTCACATCCCAATGTTGACAGGTATGTGTATGTGATCTATAGTTGATTACTCACGTAGATGGATGATAACAGTCTTTTGAGTAGGTGTGTCAAAATTAATTGTTTCTTTGGTGCACTGCGATGCAGACACAGACAATTCGGTATCGGTTCAGTAATAATCATAACCGGTTATTATGTACTGCCCTCATTTACCTCATATGCGCTCTGTTGCGAGGGAGGTGAGCGAGGGGATATTCACAACACTCCTGGCGCAATCTGCACAATTTCACTGCGTGTGTGTGATTTCTGTACAGTCTTTCACTGACACTTACAGCAGAAGCCCCTATTTCTCTGTGATTGAGGGAATAAAAATACTCCATTTCTCTCTTTCTCTCTCTCTCTCCCTCACACTGTGGCCCATTTCACCTGTTGGCGCGACTTTTGCTCTCGACTGTATGCATTCCCGCGGCTGTACCTGTGCATTGTCGCGGGATCTGACCAAATTTCATGCGGTACGGGAATAAATATCCGAATAAAGTGCAGGAGCGGTCGGTAACTCTGGTGTAATTTTAACAGGAGTGGGCAGTCTCACAATATCGCTCCCGAGCGAGCGAGCAAGCAAGCACGCGTGCGTGTTTGTTTGGTGCGGTCTATGTTTGTGTATGTGTGTGAATGAGAGACCGTGTGGTGCTGTGTGTCCCTGTGTGTGTGTGTGTGTGTGTGTGTGTTTTGACAGACAGCCTGTCATAGCCACCCCCAAAATACAACATGTAAAGCATAGTCATTGCACCGAGATATCGAATTGGACCGAATCGATGACATGATAATCATGACCGAACCAAACCGTGAGACCAGTATAGGTTCACACCTCTACTTTTGAGCCTACCAGTAGGCGCAGAAGGCCACTATTGGCCCATATCTATCAGCTGATAATGCCCATACGATCAAGTAATAACATTCTAAGCGGGTGAGGGTTACCTGTTTTTGTCTGTACTAAAAGAAGGACTTCACCTGCATGCTCACTACATTATTTAGTGATTTTAGTGTATTATGCGACTCTGCCTGCGTTTGTTTACATTGCCACATTTTATTTTAACCTAGTTTCTTGTTTCCATCTTGACACACATTTTTTAATGATACGTGTTCGGGCGCACAACTTTTAAAACGCACAAAAAAAATATCAAGTCCTAGCTAAATACTGTTTTAAACGGTACCACATTATTAAATGGATTAACAAGTTCAAGCATGTGAGTAAATACAAAAACATTTCTAATTTATCCACACACACTCTCACATCACATATTGTAACAAAAAACACAAACCAATGCACAGACACACAAAAAGCTCAGCATGGGGTCTGGTATGTGGGCTGCCAGCCAGAGAGTCAACAATTAACCAATCAGACTGTATGGAGACAGGCCAAGCATATCATATGACCTTAATAAGACACTGAAAACAACAGAGAAACTACTGCATGTGTCACACTCTATTAGCATTAGTCAGATAATATTTCTGTAAAAGACTACAAAGTAAAACAACAATGGATTAAACTACTTCGTGCCACCTGTCTTTTTTATTGAAGAACTTCTAAATTGTCACAGAATTCAATGGATGCATAAATCTTGTTTTATTCAATCGATTTAATTATTATACTTTAAAGTGAAAAGAGTAGTAAGACATCTATAAGATATCTAACATTAAATAATATTATATTGCTTTAATTAATCAATTAAAACATCAACCAATGAACATTTACTCAAGTTGGTCATTACATTCATATGACTTGTCAAACTTTAGGTTAGTTCTTGATTAGTTTACATGCTTTAACATCATTATTATTAATTTAGGTATCAGTGCATGATTGTTTGTTTACTCCACCATTTTAATACAATTAAAAAGTTAATATATTAAAAAAGAAATTTATCTATTAAAAGGTGTATTAATTAATAGAATGATTGAGGTTTTATCTGTGATGTTTGTTGTATTGTTTACTTCTATTTCACCCTTAAGTAAACTCTAATAAAGACTTGCCTGTTTTCTTGTCTCTTTTCCCCTGTCCTTGTGGCTGGTGCATTGGCTTTAACCTGTAAACAGAAGTAACAACTTAATTCACCTCTAACACATGAAGTCCTTCAGACTCACAGTAAAACAGAAGCATTTGGGAGCAGCTCGGAGGAAATCTCAAGAGGCGGTGACCATTCCTGAACAGAAAGTTGTGCTTCTCCCCTGGGTCCTATACTCCTTTCATTTAGGCAACATTGCAAATGTCAGTCAGATGGAACTGGTGATCTAATTAGCAAAGGATTTCATTAATTTGTAATCCACATGCAAATAAGAGCCAGAAAGTCATAAACACCAACTGATAGAAGAATTATAATTCGTTTTAGGTTGAACTGTCCCTTTAAGAATAACAGAAGTAAAGAAATGGCAACAAAAAAAGGATCATGTAAACGGAGCTGGGATTTAAAAAGCAGACATTGTGCAGGATGACATGATCCAAAATGAACTCTGCATTGCATGACTTCAGATTTTGGTTGTTCAGTATTACAGGAACGGAGAAGATACACTATAAAAGAATATCTGTAAGTTAGCAGTTTTCTGTATTTTGTGGTTCATGTTTTTTTTTCCATAATGCAGTTCAAAAATATAAATGGGATCTCAATCTTTCTTTCAACAACTTTCAACCTTAAAAAGTTGCAAAAAGTGACTATTATTGACATTTTTAATGTCTTACAGTAATATATTTTCTGGGTTGGTGTTGTATATACAAAAACAATGTAATAAACAGCCAGTACATTTTCTGTTATTTTACACACTTATTTCTGTATTATTTCATATACATTATATTATTTTAAACTACTAAAATGTCATTTTGTTAAACTGTAAAGTTGCATTTTTTCATCAAAAGTCAGCAGAGCAGAGCTCAAATTTACAAATTGCAATTCACAACAATAAATAAACAGTGAATCACATAATACAAAATCAGATCACTAGATGTAGCCTCTGAACTGAAGCACACAGGAGAGGCCAGAAACCATAAAATCCTTTGACATTTTTTTTTTTTTTTTTTTGGCACAGCTAGTCTGAGCTTAAGGCTAATACCCTGTCGGAAAAGTGTGGAAATTTTTGCAAAATAATGGATGACTAAAGTCTGATAAGCAGTCAGAAACAATTTAAAGCCATTTAACTGCTTTGTCTCCATTTTCCTCACACCCATATCCTCTTAATATATTTTTTTTGCATTTTTGATGATTTTGGAAATGGGACTCTCAGTCTCTCTCATTCTAGAGTCTGATATGATTTCCTTTTGTGGTTAACTTTGCAATATAAATCATCTTTTCAAATATTTTATCACCCTGCATCCCAAGACTTGATGCTCACTGTAACTAAGCAGTGCTGAGTCTGGGAGGCCAAATGGGAAAACTATAGTTTGTTGCTGGAAGTGGTGTTAGTGAGGCCAGAAGGGTGCTCACCCAAAAATCTAAAGATTTGACTGCAGAAAAAAAAAAAGAGATAGTTTACTCAAAAAGGAACTTTTACTCCACTCAAGTGGTTCTAAACCTTTATGAATGTCTTTACTCTATTAAACACATAACAATACATGTAAAGAATGTTTAGAACCAGCAGCCATACTATATTAAATCTTCCATTGTGTTCAACAGAACAAACAAGTGGGTGGAGAGTAAATGTTATTTTTAGATTAAAAAATCAGTATGAAAATGCAGCCGCTGTTCTATCTGACAGAATAGAAATCACATTTTGCACCATTAATACATTATTGATGTATTAATATCCACTTTTTAGAACAATGTGCATGTAACCATGCTGCTTTCAGGGAGGTACAACATGATTCAATCTATTATGAGTGTAATCTGTAGGGAGAGTCAGTACCTCACCCCGGCCTGGCCGCTGATACTGCTTCTGTGACAGTTTTCTTTCCAAACCACGTATTTCTGAGTCCAGCTCTGCCTCAAATTGGTTCAGTTCTGACACCAATGTTGCCTGCAAAACAGCATGAAAACCATGTATGTATTAGCTTCATTTTTATATGCAGCTACGAGACTGGTAGCACAATTTTGAATGTAATTTGTACACTTAGTTTGATATAAATGGAACTTTGACAGTATTTAAAACAAAATGCTTAAAAAAAATACCATGTTGTAAAAATAACCTGTACTTCTTTATCAACAGTATTAAAACACTTTTAAAGATTAAATAATAATAAATAAATTAAAAATCCCTATTTTTAATACATGTCTAACTTCAATAGCATTACATATGAATTGTATCAATATGAAGATAATAAATAGATTGTCAATGCAATAAATGTGTAAAGTTGATATGTAGATGCTCACCTCTATTGATGGAGATTGAGACTGAGGTTTCACTGAAGTGTGATGTAAAGGCAGCTGCGATTTAGATCTTAGATACTGAAAAACAAAAATCATATACCAAGTGAGACTTCAAACTATTTTGAAAAAAAAAAAAAAAAAAACTAAACTTAATTTACAAAATGTAGATCATGAAAAATGTCATTTTCAAATTAGAATGATTTCAAATTAAAAATATACATACTGCATTAGAACAAAAACAATGCTTTCAGTAAATGTGTGCTTTCAAATTAAATTGTTTAATTGACATTAAGATTTTTAATTGTTTAGAATTGCCATTTAAATAAAGGTGCAAAAATCAGTTAATGAGCTGCTAGTATATTTCTGTCATTGTAAATTGATTTATAATTTTTCTTGTATATTATTTGAAACTACCAAATGATAAATACAAAACAATTAAAAAGTTCTAAAATGCTATTAAAAATCATAAAACTGAAACTCTCTGCAACATTTGAGTCAGGGTACAATGTAGTTGAGGGCCAAACTGCAGTTTATTAATAGCTTAGTCAGACAGGCAATGGTCAAACAAGAGCAAACAGTAACATAAGGGTATTCCAAAAGCGTAGTCAGCAAAGCAGGCAACAGTTGGGACAGGCAGTGAAACAAAACAGTGAATAAAGCAAAGATCAAAAACAAGAAAGACAAGGCAAGGAAACCACAAGAAATGTTACAGAGGAACTAGATTCAGCCCTGTGTGTGTGTGTCAATGTGAGGTGCATTTATAGTCCTGGTAATGAGTCTATGATGAGCTTCTAGCTGTGTGTACGCGCAATCATGGATAGAACTGGAACTGGTGTGTGTGAGGTGCATAATGGGATTTGTAGTTCTCCAACCGCTAGATCGCTGCTGATTGTGACACTCTTATAAATTAATCAAAAAGTACTGGAAACTTATTTATTTATTTATTTATTTATTTATTTATGTGTTATTTTATTTATTTATAGCTTGGGAAGTTCTATGATACCCAAATTGTACTGGCCAAACTTATATTTAAAGAAAGACAGACTTAAAAATCAACAAGTAGATACAGGACTTTGCCACCAAATACCATTTCATGTTTATGAGCCTTTTTAAGCAGAAAGATTTCAGCATTAATGATTTTACAAAAGCTGTAGGCAAGCTTAAGGTTTTCTGCTTTTATTGGATATATCTTGGCAGATGATAATCTTACTGAAACCAAGTCGAACGTCCAAAGCCAATAACTAAGACATAATAAAATGATCTTTCAAATATGTTAAAGAAGCAAAACTTTAATTAATGAATGAGCTGACAGCTGTCACGTTGTAAGAAATGGATGTCAAAAGAGAATTGAGGAGAAAGATTGCTTCACAACCTGAAAACCATGACCGTTAAATCACACAAGCAGTTAACAGGTTTAAATATGCATCACAAGACAGCCCTCCTTCACACAGCTCCACACACTGAGATAAAACAATAGATTCTTTTATTCTCATATTCACACTGAGCCAGACAGCAAAATCAGTTTTAAACACCGAGGGCCATCTTTAAACATCTTAATCTAAGAATATTCTCAAAGCTAATAATCCAAACCTCTTTTACTTTTTTTATAAAGCGCAATTAAACAACAGTTGTTGACCATTGTGCTTTACACACCTTGAGTTATAAATTATCAAAACTAGACAACAACAGATAAAACAGCATGTAGTGCAACCAACATAACACAAAAAACATGTCTATCTTGGTTTCTGCTGCGTTACAAGATCAATTCCCTTACAATTTAAAAGCTTTTCCCTTTGAACATGGATTTATCAGTGTTTGTTTAACAGACATTGGTAGCCAATTTCACATTTTAGAACCTACTACAGAAAATGCCGTCTCCATTTTTCTTTAGTTTGGATCTGGAGACTTCAAACATTTTCTGGTTTGACAACATTAAACATCTGCCAAATACTTCAACAGTAATAAGATTAGAAAAATATGTCTGTCCCTGACCATTTAATGCCTTAAAAAAATGTGGTAAATTTTAACTCTGTTCTTAAACATATCTGCAACTAGTTCAGAATACAAAGGATGGGGGATAATGTGTTCATATTTGCAGGTGCCAGTAAAGCATTTTGGACCACTTGTAGACAGTTAATATAGAATTGGCCTATACACATTAAGTTACAACAGTTTAAGTGTGATGATTTAAATGCATAAATAATATCTAAAATAATAAAATATAATGAAAATTAACTTTGGCTAATAATCTCAAATGGAAAAAAACAATATTTAACTACAGCATTTACCTGCTTGTACAATAAGAAGGGCAGAATCAAGGATGAAACCTAGATTTTTTTTTTTTTTTTTTACAGATGGTGTAATGTAATCATATAGATTAGATTTGATTCAGCTTGCAAGAGCCGGCTTATGGTGCAAAGACAAATGCCTCAGTCTTCTTCTCATTTAATTAAAAAATGTATATATATTGACATTCAAGCTTTAACCTCAGACATGCAGATAGTGCACAAAGCCCAGCCTTTTGCTTGAGGCAAATAGATTTGCATGTAACTAACTACCTTGCGGTCTTTAAAATCCATGATGATAGAGAATTCTATTATATACAGATGGTGCTTAAAATAATTTATAAAACAGTTCCATCCCCAGATTGTAATTGTATGAGCCATGTTTGAAGTTGCTGCAAATTTTTCTAAAAATACCCATTTAGTCTTTAATATATGCATGTATGGAACCGTTCCTAGAAAAGCAACAAGCTTGATCTAAATTCACTGTAAACTACAGCTGTCTAAGTCATATCTCATAGTTGCCCGTCGACATATTTCTGTGCCATGTAAGACTGTTTCTGTATAAAAAACGTTGTCATGCATTCTTTCCGTTTTATTCATACGTAAAGCAATTTCTGGATTGCCTGTCATGATTTCCCAAGTATGATGCGGCCCTGGATTAAGATCTATGTTGATCCTGGAACATCATTTTTGTTCGAAAATGTAATCTGTTTAAAGCTATAGGGGTACTAAACCCAACCATAACTGTAAATTATTCCCAAAATCAGAGGAGTTAGGGTTTTCTGGAATAATAGTTTGGTAACAATGATGCAGAAGTGCATAACTGTAAGCCTAAAGTTAACAAAAACTGTAAATGTATTCCTTAATACTGATTGGAATGTTGTTTTAAGATGAACAAAGATGCTAATCCAGGAACAAGTCCTACTTGGTGAAGTCAGGTTGGCGTTTCTGCATCACCATGACCAAACTAATGTGTACAAGTAGGAACCAGCACTGCAGTCCTCAAAAGTCCATGATGCAAGATCTCATTTAAATAATCACAGCTATAGGCCAATTTGCACGACTCCACCAGAAGCAGAAAGACGTACATTGGGTTTTGCCTGATTAAGTTGATACCCCTGTTTGTGTTGTTTTTAGTGAAGGTTAGAAACTAATACATCTCTTTGTGTTAAAAGACACCGGATCAGAAATGGATTCCGACCATGCTACACAGCATCTGATGATAAATTCAAAACATGTTTACTGAACTAAAAACTGAAATTGTACAATAGCTGTCCACATTATCATCTTCAGACTACTCCTTTTCATATGATTTTGTAACTCTTGGAGCACAACATTCCATATGTTCTGAATCGTATAAAAGCTTTGCCAGACTGACATATAAACACTATTAATTTGAGTTACTTTAAAGTTCCCAAGAAATCAAAACTAACCATATGATTTCGTTAGCTCAACTAGTCTTGTGGTGACCAATTCATCTGTACCGGTCATTAAGAAAAAATAAATAAATAACAAAAAAACGTAATCTTTAATTAAAATCTGAAAATGCTCACCCTGTCCTTTTTTTTTTTTTTGCTAAATTGTCAGATTATGTACAGTATATATTAGGAATTGGGCGTAGCTAACATATTCAACTACAACTCTCCAGCTGTCAGTTTTATAAACAAACAGAAATGGTGAGAAGGAATCTGTTGTGATAATTCTACCGAAACCATTTTGCCCATATTTCTGAATGAAATACATAGTTTAAATCCATTTAGCTTGCAGTAGAAAAAAAAACAAGCCACACCCATTTAGTTTGTCTAGGAACTGAATCATAATACGAAAAAAGTAACTTCAATAACATGCCCGTTTTAAACTGCAGGGTTTAATATAGAGTTGACCCGCCCATTATACAGTATAACAGTATAATTGGTTTAGGAGGACTTTCCATGAGGATTAGGAGTGTGTTTATGGTGTTGTTGGAACCACATTCGTGAGATTAAGTGAACATCGATTAATTTGACAAAAGTGTGAAACAGCTATGATATAGCTTTTATATGTTTTAAATGCTGGACAGGCACAACCACTTTCCCCAAGGTCATTTTAAGTAAACAAGTGTCAGGCAAGTATCACAGGAGCAAAACAGACGCAATGCAATGCATCGTTGTCTAATCTGTTGTCATACACAACAAGCTCGATTAACCCTCACAATGTATTGTTTTTCCTGTTTATTAATTTTGTATTTTGGGTTCTACAGTATATTACCTCAATTTATAGTTTAATTGTAAACATAATGTGCTCATACAAATTATATATCTTTTTGTTTTGTTTTGTTTGTTTACTCCTCCGCTATAAGTTAAGGAGGTGTTTTGAGAAATATGAAGTACTGTAATTACACATGAAAAAGTCTGAAAAATCTAAACACTGTGTACTAAAAAAGTAAAACAAACTGTATGAACCCTGACCTAAGCCACACTTTTACAAGCTTTAATAACAGCAATAAAGACATTGCAGTATTGCATATGGTGTTTTGATTTATGCAGTGTTCAGTCTAGCCCATTCACAAATTGGCAAAAGGTATAGTAACAAATGCTTTCAACCAACACAATAATCCTATGGACGAATAGCACACTAAAAAGGTTTAGAAGTATAAAAATATATACCATCTGTAAATAAAATGCTCAGAGTATACAAGTACACCCCTCACAAATCTTTCTCTTACAATTGATATTTTTAAAAGGAAGATATACAATATTATGTTTGTGCCAGCTTGATCTCACGAGAAAACGTAAGTATTTTATGTTTTGCTAGTTTAGTGGCTAATTCGTACGAGTTCAGTCATATGAAAATGTACGATTTTAAAAAGGAGGCGTGGCACCTAACTCACCACTAAACCCAATCGTCATTGGGGGATGAGCAAATCGTACTAAATTGTATGAGTTAGATTGTACGAATTCATACAAATTAGCCACTAAATCAAAAAGTTACGAATTGCCGTGAGATTGTGTTGGTTTGTGCATATACATTAGATTAATCAGTACTGAAGCCAAATCAAAATAACTTACGATAACAGTCCAAAAACCATATGTTATAGAAAAACGTTAAATAAAAATTTAAAATAGGAAAAAATTTTGAAAAATTTTTGAAATTTTGTACTTTGTAATTAGTTTTTGCAATAGTTTGCTTGAGTTTAATTGTATTCTTTCAAATTTCTAAATATGTTTGGTGACTAAAATATGACTTTAATAAATACATCTGTTTAATAAATTACTTGTTTAAATGCCACAAAATACATTGCCTACATTCACTGAGAAATTGCTAAAAATATAAATTTTCAGAATGGGGTGTACACAATTATGCAGAGCACTGTACACCCCTCTTCTAGTCCTTTTGTATGTTAAAATGTCAATCAATATTTCATGAAGAGCTTTTATGATGCTCAAGTGATGGTTAGCTGTCTCTTACCTGGTTATGATCCCCTGTCACTGCTTCTCTTCCAGGCTCAAAGTCAAAAATATTCTTTGGTTCTGGGTGTTTCCCTGAGTCACCCAGATCAGCCCTGTAACGCAACATACAAAAAGAGAGAGATAGGCCACTTCATAATCATTGTTGGTTCTTGCAGCAACAGATCTAAACCTGCCCAGTGTCTTTGTAACTCCTATCTCACTCTCTCTCACCAGTCAGTCAGAGCTCCATGCTGGGTGAGGGTGATGGTGTCTGAAAATCCATCCTGGGCAGAATCTATGGAAGAGTATGATGACAGCTTCCCTGTAGGCATAAAAAAAGACTTATCAGCTTGGATATTTTACACATTAATATGAGAATAATGTCTAAATATCATCGCACCCATTACGTGTATAGTAGATACAAAGTAAATTTAGGGTTGCACAGTTCAGATTTTTGCTTGTTGATAGGGCTCATAAAATAAGCGCAATGTTTTCATATATTAAATGCATCTAATTAGCTACTTACTTTCTCTCCAGTCAAACTCAGGTTCTAAAGGAGAAAACATACAAAAAAAAATCACTATAGATATAATCAATATATATGCTTTTAATTATTTCACTAAGGAATTGTATGAGCAGCAGTTTAATACATAAAACCAAACATTGTAACTGGGCACTATAAACAAATACTGCTAAACAGCACTAAAAGGGTATTCTTTGGCTCATAATCAGCAAACCCATATGAAGCGTTACATACTGTAACATTTACATCTTAGAATATGATGTTATTTAGTATCTTAACCACCCCAAAGAAAAGATGAAGATTCATGTGCTTATTGGATTCTTTAAAGGTGAGGGGAAAAAAAAAAAAAAAAAAAAAAAAAAAAAAAATATATATATATATATATATATATATATATATATATAAATAATAAAAGATAAGTCATTACACCATATCTGATTTATTCTATAGGCTTTTGTGCATTTAAGAAAGAGGAAAGGGTTGGTTATATAACGGTGCATCCCTTTTGATTAGAGTGTAATTTAAATTAACGTTTTTAACATTTAACAACAATTGACTTATTCTCTCTATAAGCTCAATAAGTCTGAGTCAAGCTGGGTCTATCGAGACACATTTAGCAAGCTGTGCTATGTAGCATTAAGTGGTTTATTATTTCTGAACTACATCAGGAGCTACTCACGTTATTTAATTGCAGCCGTAAAATCCTACAGTATGTCTCTGGCCAAATTTCCTTTAGAGACTTTGTGGGGTTTTGTGTAAGTAATAAATGGTAAAGCACCATGAATTTCATCAGGAGTTTGTTAAAGCATGTTTGTGTTTGGTTTGTAATCATTTAACTCTGAAGGTTTACTGATTAAGGCAGAATCTGGTTTCCTTAATCCTATCATGTTCAGTAAAGGCTAGCTTGTTCCACTTTCAAAGAATCAATTGTGCACTCTCATTTCCAAGTGTAATGAATGGCTGAACAATCTTTAAGAACTTGCATCTAAAATATCTAAGCCAAAGTTTAGCGTTATTCTTTCTAGAATGTGACAGACAATAAAAGGGAGGAATTTCCTCATTGTTTCCGACAGGGAAAGCACATACCCTCTGGTTTCTTGTGGATTTGCCTGAACATGCTCCTATACCAGTCCTTGGGCTTGTTTACGCTCTGGTGAAGGGATTGAGGGAGAGAGAGAGAGAGAGAGAGAGAGAGAGAGAGAGAGAGAGAGAGAGAGAGAGAGAGAGAGAGAGAGAGAGAGAGAGAGAGAGAGAGAGAAAAATTTAAAAATAAAACTAAACGTAAAAGAAACATACACTTTAAAATGGGTTTTTTTTTTGTCGTTCACAAACAATTCAACAGGAAAAAAAAAATCCTTTTACAAAAATCTGTCAAAAAATCATTCTAATAAATTTAAAAAAAGTTTTTTTATTAATTTACAATGTAACAATAAAAAAAAATAATGTAACTCATTTCTAAAGTCTTGTAGTGTAACATTTCATAAAAAGCCAAGTCTTCTAGACTTAAATATGCTGCTTAAACTGTTTATTAAAAATGACACAACACTATTCGTTTTATTTGTATTGTCCATTTTTATTCATTTATGTTCAATCCACTTAAATTTGTAGAACAATGAAGTTTTTACTTCTGTGTAATTAGGTAAAAACTAAATTACACTAAGATGATATTTCAGATCATTACTATGTGCATAGAGAAGGGTGCACAAATAGCTTCCATTTATACAAATTGTTGAACAATCACCTTTAGCACCAAAAACTAAATAAATAAATAAATAAATAAAAAAAACTATCCGTAACCTACTTGATCCTAATTTTCTTAGAGAAATTGCCTGACAGCAAAGAAGAGCTTTATCCTATAACTGAAAATTTGAATCAGTCTTGTTGCTCCTTTTCATTTAAATAGAAAAAAGGAGCACACTCATGCTCTAAAAGCAAGCTGTCGGAAAAATGAACAGAGAGAAGACAAAATTAGAGGTCTTTCATTTTCACTTTAAAGCTTTAAAGTCTTCTAGATATGCAAATGTCTCCAACTAAAAAAAAACCCAATACAAAATCCAGAAATAAAACACAATCCAGAAATAAAGCATCAGCAGGCAACGCAACTGTGATGACTTTTTTTTCATGCAAGACTGCTGATATCAGAGACAAAACATGTCTGCTACAGTGCTGTCCCTATGAGGGCACTGTAGATCAAAGGATTCATTTCAGATTTTTCCAAGCGGTTAGAAAGGAAAAACGATCTTAACCAAGTCAACTGTTACGAAATGGGCTTCTGCTATGCTCTCCTTGGGCCACCAGAGGGAGGCATTGCCTGAATTAAAAAAAAAAAAACTGGGCTGAATTTAAACAAAAATTAAGTTGAACTAATTCAATTGTTTGTTTAAATTCAACCCATATAAATCGTTTGCAACAAGTTTGCAGAAATATTTTTTTCATTGTAGCAGGCATTTTTTGGAACTGGTCCCATTATCAATCATGGGAATCATGCGTGGAATTAGGCACGCACACCTGCATGCTATCAATTAACTGATTACTGATTTTGCATAAACTCCATGCTAGCACGCTCTCAGTGTAAAGTATCGTCTCTGCCACTTGTAAGCACGTCTAAGCAGTCATTCCCGATTATCTGACATTGACCACGCACTGTCATGATTATTCTTTCCCTGTTTGCTGCCTGCCTGCTGATCCTCTGCTCTTTTATTTATTATTATTATTCTGAATTTGCTGTATAAGCTGGACTGTTTGATGCTCTATGTTTACTAACTCAAACCTTCTTAGTGGGCCCTGACTATCACCTGAGCCCGGTTTTTCAAAAGTAATCCACTAGGATTTTGGATAAGGGATTGGATCAAATCTTGAAAATGGGTTTTTCAAAAGAAAAAAAGGATTACATAATCAGATTAGATCACGTAATCCAATCTTGGTTTTGATCCGGATCAAACTTTTAGTTTGGGTTTTTCAGACCTTTTTTGTAGGATCTAGATGACTTTGATCCAAAAAACCTGGATTAAACTGATCCCATCAGAAGGGTGGATTTAGCGTGGATTTCATGCCCAAAATGTAATGAAAACTTTAAAAAAAAATTTAAAAATATTACTATTTTTGGATCATGCAGTATCTTACCAGATATATTAATTATTCATAAGGTTTTAATTTTATTTGTTCATCTGTCAGGCTATAGGGAGTATAGGCTTTAACGTATTCAGCCTTTCAGTATAGGCCTACAGCAAAGTAGAAAGAGTTTGGCCTCATAAAATAATCCCCCAAACAGCTGTCAAAACTGACCAAAAACAATCAATTTTATTCTGTCACTAATTGATATTTATATTAATCACAATGGAAAATATTTTTCTTTTTAGAATATTATTTAGTGATGCATGCAATGATTACAGAATAACAACAACAACAAAAAAAATGCAAAGAATGGCAATGACTGATTTTTGAAATCTCTTTCAACAATTGCAAAGAGACTGAAAGGGCAGAAGCACAGCTTCGTCTGGTAGAGAAACAATTGACTCTAACCAAACTGCAGAAAACCAATGCCAATGACTTGAGATCCGCCTCCTAAAGGCTACGCTCAGACAAGCTGGTCTCTCCACATCAGTTGAGGAAGTCTGAAATTAGTTTTTGACATTAAGTCTTTTTTATTTACATCTATATTTGAAACTTATTATAAATATCCTCAATGTACAGTGTTGTAGGTCTCAGATGAGCGGACTGCTGAAAGAGGATAGGGTGGGATTTTTCTTGTTTTTACTATTTATTTTTATTATTATTTGAATATTTATTAAATTCTCTTAGTTTTTATTTCAAATAAAAATAAAGTTATATTGACCCCACGCTGGCTATTCTACTTGTCAGTATCTGCCTGCCCATGACCAGTGCATGATAAGGAATACTTTGTTAAATGAAGCTGCTTATGAATCAACAGACACATGACTGTTACATCAACCTCTATGTTATATTCTATCAATAAATTAAAACTGTTGTCAGAAACAGACTCCATTTGTTAAAGTATAAATTCATCATTACTAATTTTATGTGTAGAACCAGTTATTAATCCTCTTGTTTAACCAAATCAAAGTTTTATCTCAAGTAATCAGGAAATTGTAGACCCATTTCAAACCTAAGAGACTGGTAAAAGTCATACCCAATTGTGCATGTTCTTAGAGAGAAATGACAATCAGGATATAGAGCATTTTATACAGAGCACTGACATACTGTAGCACTCATCAGAGTTAAGGTCCATTCATGCCATCTCAAGAACTAAATTAAAAATGAATGTGTCCACACTTGTGAACAATACTTTTAAAAAGGTTTAATTTATGCTTTTCATTCAGAAATATGCCCTTTCATATGTTCTCAGTGTTCTACTAGTGCAGAGGGCCAAACCCTGTTCCTGAAGATATACCGCGTTTCAGAGTTTAGCTGGAACCTTGATAAAATTTGCCAGCCTTTAATTACTTAGAGCTCCATCAGATCATATTCAGCTGGTTTAGTCATTGCACTCCTATAGTGCACCTGACCAGTGACTCTAGCTAATGTAATCTTTAAAATGATATGCTAAAATGCTTAAGAAATATTGTGGCTTATTTATGTGACTTTTTTTTCTTCATCTAAAGCTGCTCTGGCACAATGTACATTGTAAAAACACTACAAAAATAAAGATAAAAAACAAGAATATATTTAGTAGTTGGTCAAATTACATTTCAGTGTTATTTATAGGTTTAAATGTCCAGTGTTGTTCATGTTTATGAATTTAATGTAGCAACATAGTCATGTGAGACCATGTAGACAGCTTGGCTGAAACCAAGCTAAACTGCCAGTGAAAATCTAAGAACAGCCCAAAACTAGACTAGTCCTCAAATAGACAGACTTTGTGAAGTTACTCATTTCTGTTTATTTGATGACTAGTTGGCCTAGTCTTATGTCTATTAGATTTTCATCGACAGCCCAATTTTAGCCTTGTTTAGCCAAGACACCTGTTTAGATGTCTATTAGACATCTTTTAAAACAAAAAATGCTTGCTGGGATGTAGTGGAATGACAAAAAACCTTGACTTGTTTGTTTTAAGCGTTTTAAGGTTGTGATAACTAGCAAACTGTATGACTAATTAAATTCTTTTCAATTCACTGAAAATGTGAGGATTGAGCGCCATTTAAGATTGTAGTGGTCCAGTAACACTCACAGATCGAGATGCAATAGGCATGCCTGTCTCATCTACAGGACCTATTCCAGAAAACTTTATTAAGCGCTCCTCCCGGGTGCCAGAAGTCTTAGGCAGTGTATCGGAACCACTTTGTATTCCACCATTGGACAGTCCGCCTGTAAGAGAACAAGATGACAATTAATATACATTGCTAGGAATATAGAGTAACTTATCAAATTAATGTTAATTACAACCATTGATAGATACTGATGAATTGACAAAAACGATGACTAGCATTGCATGCTCGTTCACTTTTCTTAGGCTTAGTACATGCTTTATCAGGGGTTGTCACAGTGGAATAAACTACCAGTTACTCTGATTTATTATCCAGCCCTGAAAGTGCACACATTTTTAATAACTCACAATTCTTTAAAGTCCTGACTTTATACAAGTCCTTCAAGGCATTCAAAACGGTGCCAACTACACAAACTTTAGTTCCAACCCCAATCAGGCACACCTGGGCCAGCTAATCAATCATGAAGGTGTGTTTAGGCAAGATGGAGCTAAAATCTGCAGGACACTGCCCTTCAGGACCGAGTTTGGCTACCCTTGATTTAGACCTTGGGTGCCCAACCCTGTTCCTGGAGATACCTTCCTGCAGATTTCAGCTGCAACCTTGATCAAACACACCTAGTGCTTCTTTAAGTTGGTTTAGTTGTGTTTTATTAGAGTTGAACTAAATTCTGCAGGAAGGTAGATCTCCAAAAATAGCGTTGAGGACCCCTGGTTTAGACCAATGGTTAAAGACAATGTTTCGTCGTTTGTTCGTATGCCTGTATAAAAACTGGCCTCAAAGGACTGTCATTCAAGCAACCAGAATGAAACCACTTGTGTTTTTTTCTGGATTGTTCCTGGGTCTTGGAATATGTTTTTTTCATTATTTATTTTTTTTATTCTGACCCAAATTAAATCTACAAAGCTTCCTCAGATAAAACATAAAAATTGTAGCCAAAAAAAAATCCTTATGAGGCTCAAACATCTTTTCAGTTGTGGCAAGTTAGTTGGACTTGTAACTCACCTAAGCCCACTGCACCGGGTGTATATGCTCACAGTGTGTGTGCTCTTACTTCTCACTTAATATGTGTGTGTGTGTGTGTGTGTGTGTGTGTGTGTGTGTGTGTGTGTGTGTGTGTGTGTGTGTGTGTGTGTGTGTGTGTGTGTACTTCGATGGTTTAAAAGCAGATGACCAATTTCAAGTGAGGGTTAAACTATAGTAAACTAGGCTTACTTCACTTCACTCATCTTTATTATCCCGAAAAGATGACTGTAGAATTCTTCCTAATCCTCTTTTTAGTTTTTGAATATATTAATCTTACAAATGGACAAATTACACCTATCAATAAAATCTGCAAAACCATTATCAAGTTCTTCACTGTTTAAGAGTGAAACAATCACAGTTCAACTGAATAATCCACAAAATTGAAATGAAATGAAATTTAAATTCGCTAATCTGTTTTATAAAGCACAAAGATGTGGATGATTCGATCCTTGCCTGACTCGGTAAAAATGAATCAGAAAAAAATAATTTACTTTCACACACTGAGACTTACAGCATCAGTCCAAATAAAATCCATCAGCCAACATATCAGCCCAAAATGAATGTTATAAATTTCTTTTGATACTTCTGGTAATACATGAGGTTGAATGCTGTTAGCAGATAACAAGCAATCACACACATTCTTTGCCTTACAGTATGTAAATAATCACAACAACAAATTGGTGTATATTTGTTTGTACCAAATTTACCAAATGTCTCCGCCGGTCCATAGTAAGATCCAAATGTATGTGATGGGAATCCTCCTCCATTGACCTCGGCGACCTGTTGAAGACAATAATGCAAAGTGAAAAATACAGTTTTACAATAGAATGTTACAACAGCGAGTTAAGGAGAATACACATAACAAAAAAAAAAAAAATTTGTGTCATCAATTTATAAAAAGTTGAACACAAAAGTTGCAGTCGTTATACTGTAAATGCATTGCAACAATCTATTCCATGTCAAATAGACCAAATGTAAAAACTTTTCCATCAAACATATCCAATTTTGTTTATATTTCTCTGAAGTAAGGTGGACACCAGAATGTTCAATTGAGGGATGTTGCACGATAGTTGAGCAGACTCCAAGTTGTTGAGTAAGTTTTGGATTGACAAAATCAAACAAATCCAAAGATCAGGGTAAAATGCCTGCAGCAAACGGCTAAGAGGTAAGGAGAGCATCAGTTTGATTCATTTCTATTTCATTTACAAGGCAGAAATAAACACTGCTGGTGCAGCAAAAGTATGAGAAAGCCATTTGTGGCAAAAACCCACATTGGTTTTGTGCAACAGGCCTGACCATTTTCGACTGAGATTTGGAGCCAAATTGCAGGGGGATAAGAATGACCTATGACATAAAGATAAAAGTATCATTATTTTATTTTTAATAAATAGCTTGCTCTGTTAGTAAAATCTAGTGACAGTAACAATTTATTCTCCATTACATGCTAACGGTGTCATTACAAATTTGTCTTTTTGATTTTTTTTCTTCAAACATTGCATGAATCAATAAATCAATTTATTAATTCTACTTATACATTTGTCATTTGTTCATTAGTTTGTTTTGATATGTGGTGAATCAGTTTATGGCATAGCCATTTCTTTTTTATTTCCAGTTTTGGGACCTGCTTGAGTGACAAAAAAAAAATTGTTGATTGTGTCTTTCAAAGCAAACTCGAAACATTTTTTTTTTTTTTGGTTCTCAATGAATAAATAACAATTTTCAAGTTCATATCTTGAAAGTTTATTATTAAATAATATTCTTATATGGATCTGTTTAATTTGCATTTTTCAAAGTTTAAAATCAAAATGTGGGTGAATTTGCAGACATCTCAACAATATTTAAAAGGAAAAATTTGAATAATAACGTTGAAACTACAATATGTAGCTTGTTTCCTTTTCTGGCTACTGCATACAGAATGACATACCATGAACTTAAGTCCTTAGAAAAACCACAAGGGGGCAGAAAAAGATCATTTATGTGCCTGGACTAATCCAGACCAAGTCAGTATTACTCAACCAACATTTTATCTGCATAGTGCGAAAATGTTTGGTGTGGAATTGATTTATCTTAGATAAGTTTAAATTGTGCATAAATTCAAAGCTCCAAATGTTTGTGTAAAATATGATTATCCACGATTAGCACTCCAGGATACTTAAAACATCTTGTGGTTCAGAGTAAATACTTCAACACAAATCAAAGTAAATATTTAATTACAAAATTAAATATATTAATTTAATGAAGTGACCTAAAACATGTTTTTTTTTTTATTTACACATGGTAACAATTTATTCATTCATTTTCTTTTTGGCTTAGTCTCTTTATTAATCAGTGGTTGCCACAATGGAATGAACCGGCAATTTATCCAGCATATGTTTCTTGCATTTACACACATACACTATGGCCAATTCAGCCCATTTAATTCACCTATAGCGCATGTCTTTGGACTGTGGGGGTAAACCAGGAAAACAAGCAAACTCCACACAGAAATGCCAACTAACCCAGCTGGGACTCAAACCAGTGACCTTCATTCTGTGAGGCGATCGTGCTATCTACTGCACCACCGTGACGCCCGGTAATAATTTATTCTTTATTTAAATGTTAAAATTGTCAGCTTATTTAAATTTTAGGTTTTAGATTTTCAATCAGATCAAAGAAATTCCCAATACACATAAGGAATAATGTGCAGTGTGAGCAATGAGTATTGGTTTATGGTTAAATTCTTGCCTTCTGCTGTGAAGGGGCTGAAGTGTTGAGTATTGGACTTGATGGAGGTGTAGGAAGACCAGGAGAGATGACTACTACATCCTGGGGTATATCCGGAGTCATGAAGTGCTGTCTCGATCCACTGCCAGGTAGAGCCTCATCTGAGAAAATGATCCGTGAGCCATTGAGATGATCATATACCTCCACTCTTTTCTAGGAGAAAAAACAAAACATATGTTATCTAATGACTTAAATATATTACTTACTAATATATATATATATATATATATATATATATATATATATATATATATATATATATATATATATATATATATATATTAGTGCTGTCAATCGATAAAAAAAATGACTAATTAATCGCACCTTTTTTTAAAAATTAATCACGATTAATCGCATTTAAAATTCTGAAACTTGTAATTTTGGCTATTCAAATGTAAAATTACAGTTTTTTACAATTGCTATGACACTTTTATCAATACATTTAACAAGTTTCCTAAACTCTTAACACAATTAGCACAACATCCGTCTTCGTGGGCTATACAATTAACACATTTCTTGTTTTTTTGACACAAAATGCATCCAGTTAACACAAATTTAAAATGCTTTAACTTCTTTTACACACAAGCACAACCAAAACCAAAACAATGTAATTTTACAGTCAAATTTACAAATGCTTTAACACAGTATGTCAGAACAGATAACACCATGTTCTAAACAGAAATTATATAGGATAAAGTCAAAGTGAACAGCTGTTCTAATTGTGAATTGAAACACAAGTTTATTCCCTGTATTTTATTCAATTGCCAATAAGAAACAGCATATTGCTGTTATATAAATAAATATATATATATATATATATATATATATATATATATATATATATATAGAAAACACACTCATGTCTTGTTTAGGTTTTTCCAATCACATGATCATATGTTCTAATAGAGGACTCTTGAGGTTTTTGAAAGGAACAGTGAGCGCATCAAAGAACTCTGTCACCAATACGTCCATGTAAGATTATGCAATACAGTCATTACTGTACTATACACAGTGTGTTTTGCAGTAAACTACTCTTTAAACCTGGAGTTCATTAGTACATACAGTACATATACAGTACAGCATTTGCATACACTGTGTCTAATTACTTTCAGAGAGTCATGAAGTTAGAGGCCAATCAAGTATGAAATTTTCAATGTTGACAAGGCTGGGGATGTCGCCGTAGGAAAAACATAATAGGCCAAAGGGCCGCAGTTTCGGTGCCGGGCCACAGAAGATATCAAGTATAATGTGGATGAGAACATTTGGCAAAAGACCGGGCAGAATAGAAGATTACTTTGTTATTTTATTATAATTGTGGTGCTTTTTCTGTTTGCAGTGATGTCCTTCTGCAAAAAAAGTCTGTACTGCAGAAATTCTGTGTCTGTATTTTTTTTTTACATAAACTGTAAATTTTATGAAGCATTTTTTTTTCTTCATTTTGTATAGAATTTTTGCCGTAAAAGAAAGAAAATGCATGCATTAACTTAACCCAATGAAACAAAACTGTAATGAGACTTCAAATATAAGGGCAGAGCTGACACATAAACTAATGGAGTTTCTGTAATGTCAGCTGATGATAGTGTTTTTATTGTCAGTGTGTTCTGATTGACTGAATGTTTCTGTTGGAAGAGAACATGTGTTGGTGTTTTGAACAATAATTTCATTTTGAAACATGATTGCAGTGTTTTGTTAGACATGGTGTAGTGTGTTCGTTTATTATTGTATTTTGAAAAGTAGTTTAGAGGTTTCGTTTATAATGTGTGATTTTGAGCATAAAATTAACTGTTTTGCCAATTGTGTATTTTAGGTGTGTTGCTGCGTTAAGAGTTTAGCAAACTTGTTAAATGTATTGAAAAAAGTGTCATAGCCATTGTAAAAAACTGTAATGTAAACGCAAGACAAAAACTATTTAAATTCAAAATATAATTGTTTATTAGAATTAAAATTCTAAATATAGTTGTTTAATAGAATTTTTGTTTAACTTGTAACACAGATTTCTTCATGTAAACAACATACCCACAATAAACCATCAAGATCCTGGCTTGACAGCCATATTTATTAAATAAATTAAAACGCAGGCTTGTTAATGGCATTTAAATTTCAAAACAATCAATGCCAATAAAGAAAACCATGATTTCCATGTTGGAGGTGCGATTAATTAGTAAATTTTTTTTTATCGATTTACAGCACTAATATATTTATATATATGTGTGTGTGTGTGTGTGTGTGTGTGTGTGTGTGTGTGTGTGTGTGTGTGTGTGTGTGTGTGTGTGTGTGTGTGTGTGTGTGTGTGTGTGTGTATGTGTTTGTATGTGTGTGTGTGTGTGTGTGTGTGTGTGTGTGTGTGTGTGTGTGTGTGTTCGTGTGCATTTGTACATTATTATTCAACAATGTTCAAGGGAAGAAGAAAGTGAGAACTGGGGAAAGCTGAACAAGTTTTAATAATAAAAAAAGAAAACAAAAGCAAAGTGTGCATCATATTCTTTTAATTCAATGAACCAGAGTGAATTATCACGCATGTACTGCTGTTACTGTTACCAATCTAAAAGACAACTGAAATAATTTATTCTGTTGAAATGGAATTGTAATGCAGTAAAAACCTGCCTGGAACCACTTTAGCATGTGCAAACCTAATGGGACGTGTCCACAGAAGCTCTGAAAATGACAGCGCTCTTTTAAATACACTTATCTGCAAGAGCATCTCCAACTGCAGTGCTGAGCGTAAAGCACAAACTTTATGTAAGGCTGTATCTGAATCTGTATCTGAATCTTTTTGTATCTTTTTGTAAGGCTGTATCTTAAGTCATCCCTATACCCTTAAATAGTGCATTGTTTGAGACAGCAGCCATATGTTGCAGTGTTCAAAACTATAGCGGGTCATTCTGAAGTGCACTCAGTCAATCCCTGAATGCACCACAATAATGAGTGTATAACCCTGGTAATCTCAATAGCTAGAAAGTACCCATAGTGCCAAACTGAATTCATACCTATAAATAAAACATTATTTAAATCAAGAAACATTTGTATTAAAATACTTCATCTGTTATATCACTAATAGACACGTGCTGACTTTTAAATAATTCACAGGGTCTTACCAGGAAGTTTCAAGTGTAATCTGTCAGCAGGATTAATCAACCAGCAAAGGCAACGCTATCTCACGTCAATTTGTATGTTTTAAGTGGCTAATTCGCATGAATTTGCACAATTCTCATTAGTATAATTTGCTAATCCCACAATGATAATTGGGTTTAGACTAGGGTTTGGTGTCATGCCTCCTTTTGAAAATTGTACATTTTCTTATGACTCGTATGAATTTGTACAAATTAGCCACTAAACTGAAAAAAGTAACATTTCCTTGTAAAATTGGGCTTGCTAAGCACAAACAAATGGCATCACTCTGGAATGGAATTAACTCGCTAGTTTTATTTACTCAATCAAGTGGGATTATGCAGGGTATGGTGAATGAAGGTATAGGGGCAATTTCAAATACAACATCAGTGTCTTGCTATGCTGTTAAAAAAATGCACTTTTATTGACAACCACAAAAATATATGTATTTCCCTTCCAATCAAATTAATTTGTTACTCATTCTCCCACTAAACAAAATTGTGTTCAATTGATGTCTTTTAGACTTTTCCTTTAGACCAGGGGTGTCCAAACTCGGTCCTGGAGGGCTGGTGTCCTGCTGAGTTTAGCTCCAACTTGCTTCAACACACCTGCCAGGAGGTTTCATAGCATAAATTTTAGGAGCTTGATTGGATGTGTGTTTGATTAGGGTTGACTTGAGTTGGACACCCCTGCTTTAGACAATTAGACATTGAAATTACATCCCCTAAGGGTGCAGAATGAAAGTTTTATGGCATCCTTTTTTGGCTTAGACACAGCCTTAGATGAAATCAGCTAAGCATTAAATCTCTCAAAATCTCAGCAGAGGATCAATAAACAACTCGACAGCATCAGAGGCTTCACTTACAAACCTGCTTGACTTTATTACTGTCGATTCAAATGTCCCCCATCACATTAATTAAGAATGAAACGCTTTAGTTGTTTTATCATGATCCTCAGCTGAGATTTTGAGAGATTTAATGTTTTAGTTGATTTAAGGCTAAGTTTAAAAAGGACATCATATAAACGTTCATGGGATGTCATTTCAACATCTAATTGTCCAGAAGAAATGTCTAAAAGATATCATTTGAACAAAATTGTGTTTTGTGTGCTTAGATCAAGGAAATTGTACATCATTGTGCTTTTAAGATTTAAGGTCCTCCCATTTTTAAGATTTAAGTTTCTCCCAGATTTAAGTTCCTCCTATTATGACAATCCTAGATCTTGATTGTTTTGGTTGTTCTAAAGATTATCTCATTCATTTTCTTGCAGTGTAAGTTGTGTTAAGAGGGACTGTATAATTAATAAACTTTATAAACATAATAAACTGTCAGAAATCTGTCGGTAGAGTGGTGTCTTTGTCACATAGAGGCATACCACACATTATAGGAGCAATACAGTTATATTTAGGATATTTTCAACTAGAGCTGAAGATCGTTCGGGCTTAATTTCTATAATTTTAGTTGGTGTCAATACTCAGGCCGGGCTTGAGCTTGTGCTCCGGCTTGTGCGGTAAATAAACAATCATGTGATGCAAATCGATTAGTGCAAGAAAGTAATAAAATTATTTGTTACAACATTAAAACCCATCCTGCAAAAGTGCAACAAATGATGATGGAGAAGTCAAAAAGAGCGAATTTTGCGGAATGGAAAAATGTACAGTAAGCGAGGTCACTCGCTACACTGAAACTGCTGTCATGGAAAATGAAATGGATGTTCTAGGCTGGTGAAAGATGAACAAACAATCCTACCCAAAACAAGCAAGATCAGTAGTACTACTGTATGCATTTTGGCCAGCAGCATATAATAATGTTCCTCCACAAAAACACATAGCCTAATCTTCATGAGTAGGTTAAAGGATTTTCAAATTATAACTAAATATTAATGAAATCAAAAACAGGTAATGTAGTCAGAGTAGGCTAATGTTGGCATTATTCTTTTAATATTTAGCTTCACCGTCACCTTAAGGCCAGATTGTTAAGAGAAGTGGTGACACAAATCCTGCAGAGTCTTAATTTCAAATCTTAATTTTCTTTTTGCCAAATACTTGTCATAATTTATAATTCATTTTAGTTTATTTATTTGGAAATACTTATTTTTATTGGTGTGTTGGCCAATTTAAAGGCTAAGTGAATATACCTAGGCCTAGAGTGCTGAGATGTTACGATGTTACAAAGGATTTTATTTCCTTGTTCCAACTTCCAAGTGGCTTATACATTTGTTATGAATAAATGATGTTAAAACACATAAATGATTCATTGAAACAAGGCAAAAGAGTAAATGTCGGGCTTTAAACGAGTTTCAGCTTTTAAAAAGCTGTGGATCAAAATGTACTTGGCAGGCTCAGGCCGAATTCTGTCGGGTTTGGGCCCTTTCGGGCCTAACTTTTATGGCCTGATTATACTCAACATGGAGTAATACATTACTACCATGTTATGGACTCTTTTTTATTTACAGTAGTTATGTTCTTCATTCAAACACCCTAAGGTGTGATGCTTAGCCATCAGGGTCATGAAGAGGTCACTAGAACCAGCCATGACAAGTGTGAGTGTTGACAATATCTTAAGTAAGCATTCAATTTTGCATTGCCAAACTTCTGCCTGACCTCCTTTCCTCTCCCTTTGGACTTAAACCCCACCATCCCTCATGCTCTGCTATCTCTGGGACCTGAATTATGCTCCCTCTCTCAGTTTGAACTTTAGGGGTCATGGGAAGATCCATGTGTTCTCACAGAGGGTGAAACTGTATCTTGTTAAATCATGGCGATGTCTTTGTTAGCAGGGACTGTGGCTTTTTCATGGAAATCCAAGTGAGTCCATAAATAGCTCCCTCTTTCTCTCCTCCTGTCATTGAGTAAGGGGTTGTTTGTAAGGTTTCTTTCTTTCGTTGTTTCCAGGGCTTCTCTCAAGGTGATGCTGAATGACCCAGGAGTTGCCAGGGATCATAGGTATATGTGCAAGCAGTTCAAAAAGTGAAAAGAGCAAGAAATTCAAATGCGACATCCAAAGGTTTAGCCCACCTCAGACTGCATGTCATCTGCAGGGATCCTATTCAGTAATTCCTCAGCTCTCAGATGTATTGCCTGAAAGAAATACAGCAGCATGTCATAACTCATTCAAATATTGATATTCTTTTACAGCACATCCATCATGCAGACTTTATTTTAAATATGTGCTGCAATATATATGCTGTAATTTGTAAATTTTTCAAATGATAGATTGATAAATAATTTTAATACCATAAACGTCATTATGTTGCATTCACAATTAAATTTTGAAAAAGCAAAAAATTGAATTAAAATAAAATTAGGAAAAATAAAGTTGCAAGAGTAGTTTGCTGATGGTGAAATTCTTTCTTTTCTTTTTTTTATTATATTTTGGTATATATATCACATCTGGTACATATTGAGGCATTTGCAATGTATTACCCCATTAAGCATATTTTTTATGCTTAATGACATAACATTCAAACCCCTAGCAGTTGATCCACAACATTTTGAAATGTAGTTTTAAACCATCATAAAGAAAAACTTGTGATATAATACTATATACTATGAGACAATCATGATTAGCCTATTTACATTATTTAAATATTTTTCCCCCTTTGCGCTTCTCCATTTGTGCGCTAGTATATCAGTTCACTATGTTCACTATGTCACATAACTGCCCCCTGCTGGTCATGTCTTTTTTTGTGTTAGACCGTCCAGTGTGGTAGCGCGTACACTGCAGCATTGCGTGTGGTCACGTTCATTCACTCGTTTATTCTCAGTGGCCACATCTGTAGCTGTTTACATTAATTTTCCTTCAGCTTAGTCCCTTATTTTTCAGGGGTTGTCACAGCAGATGAGCAGTACTGGGAAACACCCATACACTCTCACATTTACACTTATTCACAACGGCCACTGTGGTCAATCCAGTTCACCTATAGCTCTTGTCTTTAGATTATGGGGGACACCAGAGCACCTGGAGGAAACCCACGCAAACAGATGGAAAATACACAGACTCCACACTGAAATGTCACCTGGTCTAGCCATGACTCCAACCACTGACAGTGCTAACCACTGAGTCACTGTGTTGTCTATAGCTGTTTACATAAAGTAGTAAATAAATCTTTAATTAGATTTTATCATGTGATGATTAGCATATTTACTGTCATCACTGCAATGTGTTTACACTTTGCCTGGTGTCAGCCCATTCCTGTTTGCCTATCTCCTAATCCAGGGGTGCTGAAGCTTGGTCCTGGAGGGCCAGGGTCCTGCATATTTTAGTTCCAACGCCTATTAAACATACCCGAACCAGCTAATCAAGCTCTTTCAAGGTGTACTAAAACATCCAGGCTAATGTGTTGAAGGTAGTTAGAGCTAAACTATGCAGGACACCGGCACTCCAGGAGCTAGTTTGGACCCCCCTGTCCTAATCTATGTGCTCAAACAATTAACTAAAAACTTATTTTCCAAATTTCCAATTTATTATTATTATTTTTTTTCCATTTCTTATAAATATCAAACATAGACATGCTTTTTTTTCAGTCAGTTAAATAAATATGAAGAAGTAACTAGCAAATTGAAAACACTGGTCCATACTGTATGAAGTAATAATAAGAGGCCCATGCTATTTTTCTTGCCATGGTGTGAATATATCTGGCAACCATGGTGACAATGAAGGTAAACATCAAATATGTCAACTTTTATAGTACTGGAAATTCTTATTCAAGGTGTCACAGCACACATTTTTACAGTTTTAAAATTTGTATATATTTGTATATATACATAAACCAAAAAAGCCATTCAAAAGCTGATTCTCTGTCTTTGTAAGCCCACTAAACCATGTATTCAGTGTAACCTATTCAGGATGTCTTGCCTGAATTATGTTCAATTGCAAATTCAGTTGCTTTTGGTTATTATTCTGTGAAATGTACAAAGTACTTTTGTTGATCATAAAAAAAGTAATAATAACAGCTTTATTCCCCAGTTTCACTGGCTCACACTCATTCCATTGTCTTAGACAGAGATATTTTGTGAAGTGGTCATGGTATGGCATATTCACACAGTATTGAAATTAAATAATTTAAATGTATCTTTAAGTTTTTGGCATTTTATGCTGATAATAATTGATTGTGCAAAAAAACAAACAAAAAAAAATGTAAGTTTGGCACCCAGTGGTTGAACTGGGTATTGCACGTCTGTTTCAAAACACATCAGATTGACCTTATCAACAGGAATGTGCCTGACTATCGAGCCTAAAGGTTGATTTAAGGCTGATTTACAGTAAGTTGTGTTCTAAATAAAAGCAACAGCGTGCAATAAAAGTATTATGTTCCATATTAAAATGAGCTTTTATACTAACCAACACCTAAAATGTACATATTAGAAACAGCTTCTATTTCTTGTAGCTGGACCACATGGAAAAACTGACAATGATTACCTCAGGTACCCCTCATGTGCTTTATTCAGAGTTAAATGCTAATAATGTGAGTTTGAATGTGACATTTATTGCCATACTACTGAAAGCAGCAGTAGACAGTTCTTCTGAGATCTAGAAAATAAAATAAATTATTTGGAATTGAACTTTAGAACTGGGACTCAGTGCAAGCCAACACATATCAGTGACTCAGCAGGTACATTTAATAATGTTAAAGACGTTTATTATGTATTAATTAGATTATAAACCTCACAATTTCATTGGAGTGCAGTGAGTGCACTATTCTGTGCTACTGAATGGCTGTACTTAAGTGTCTGTTCTGTTTCGTTTGGTGCAAACAGACAAACTGCTTATCACTGCAAATCTCGTCACGTAGCGTGTTGTTAGGACACTGGGTTACAATGTGACCTGCCCACCTAATGTTCACATTCATGATACTTATATGATTTGCTAATTAATAACCACCTAATGTGGATCAACAAATCTGCATCTTATTTTGAAGTGTGCTACTGTCCACCAGAGGTCACATTTCAGTCATGGACGCATGCTTTGAGAGACTAAATGAAATGTGCTGTTTTCCACCATGCAAGGTCACCCAAGGTCCTCAAATATAATTGGCTAAATTGGCATTGGGCAGGTTACAGGAGCCAAAACAAAGACAGACATTCCAGCACGGAAAGCACATTTTCACAGCAAAATATCTGACTTTAGCATTGATGTTCAGACAAGCAAGTGTTCCCTTAGCATGTTTCTTAAATATCAGCAAAAATATTATGGTATTTTTATGCTTTAGAAGAGTCAAAAACATACAAACAGCACCTTTAATAAAAAATATATATATCAATAGAAATATATGTAAACCAAAAGATGTAAACAAACACAATTATTTAAAAAAAGGACTTTTCCAATTGCTTTACATCTTTGTTGTTTGTGTTTTTGTCACATGACAACCAGTGAGCTGTGCGCATTAAATGTTTCATATGACTTCAGCTTTCCATTTGACATCAACATTTCCCACTCAGAGAGAAACCAAGAACTGAGTGCTCCTAGATGTGTTTTCCACTCGAGATGATTAACTATAAACTGGAGATCATAATGACTGCCGTCAGTTTCCTAAACGCTGTATCCACTGCTCTGAACACTGGGCTATTCACACAGGGGATTATATGTTGGGTTATTCTCTTTCTCTCAGTCTGTTTTCTCATTCTCTTGGCCCAGATGACTCATCAGTCTTGAATGAGCTCCATTGCATAACAGAGAAAACAACAATTGAGTGTGTGTTCATGTATGTGTGCTTCACAATGATCTCTCAGTATGTGAGGACAGACAATGGGGACGTGTTCATTTGCATGAGTGGAACTGCTTAAAAACATACACATTAACAAGTGCTATATCAATTAATGGGTGTGAATCAAAGGAAAATTGAATGTTTTTAAGTGAATGCAAAATCATTATCTATTGCTCTATTTTTGTTTAATTGTAATATTAAATTGTAAGTTAAATCTAAAGCTTATCAGGTGAATGCAGTCTTTTTTTGTTCAAGTAATACAAAGTTTTGCTATTAAATGGCAAGTTTAAGAGCAACAAAAGTTTGGAAATAAATATAAACTTTCTGGGTTCACAAAGATAACAGAGTTTAGCAAAACGTGAGCACAAAATGAACTGAGAAGTATTGATATTCTTTTTTTTAATGAAGTGTGGTTTACCAACTGTCTATGTTTGTACAGAAAGTGATACAAAATATTAACATATCCACACTTTCGCCACTCCTTCAGTCAAGATGAATGATAGTAAACAAACTTTGGCTAACTGTCCTTCAAAGGAGGCTTGAACCTTCTGTCCTTGAAGGAGGCTTGAGGCTTACAGTGTATATACCCATGTGATAACGATTGACACGCCTAAATGATAAGGTGTCTCCCAAACCTACATTGTGAACTTCATTTAAAAGCATGTAAATACAATTCTGATCTAAAACAGAAATGATTTACATATTAGCAACTTAACAGATTTATAAGTAAATCCATACTAATTCTAAAATTGTGACAATAAATTATTTAACATATTGTATTAATTTTTCATATCACCACACTTTGTGTTTTCACATTATATTGGTAAATTGTTCCCAGATTAATCATGACTTTCTTTAACGAAGGCGCATCTCAAAGGAAATTGTCTTACACGTGCAATGCTGTTTTCCTTTTCCTTTCTGTGGGTATGTCTACACTAATCTAGATATATTTGAAAACATTTGAACAATCCATTTCGACACTATTGTTTTTAATTCTTTCCGCCACCCACTCTAAGGGTGCTTTCACATTTGGTTCAATTGCCTGTCCCCCCTTGCCACTTTCTTGGCTGGTCTTTTTTCCTTCATAACCCCGGTATGCTTGCGTCATCAGGCTGCTGTTTTGTGTACAGCTGTTGCTAGGTGATGGCCATGAAAGTAAAGCACCAAAATGAAGACATCCGCATATCACGGTCATTCTGCTTTGACTGAATCTTTTGGTTTTGTTACTAAAATCAAAATACAAAGAGCCACTTGCGTCTATCTGCTGCAAAAATATTAAAAACATTTAGAACATCACGCAAAGTCTGTAGAAGTCTTTGTTGGAGGCGACAAGCCGACCACTGTTTGCACTGGATCAGTGCCGCTTGTCACCAA